GATTTCAGGTATGCTTTTTTCGGCAATTCTTTCGATCTGTTCGTAAATCTGACTACTTGACAATGCGCCATGGATTTATCTCCGTGAGTTTCTTGAGATGAAGAATTTCCTCTTTCTCTTTTGGATAATAAGACCAAACTGTAAGAAAGTTACCATCAATTAATTATTTTATTCCTGTAGGTTCATTTAGCACCTGGAAGTAAGTTTGACTTTCAGAAATATATTAAGAGGTCATTAGAAGACGACTTCAAGGTAGTTGTGGGAATCAGGTATAGTTATGTACATTACGATTTAATTTACAATTTTTTTAGCCTATAGATAATGCTCTGATATGCCGCATATCCATCTGACTTAATTCTTGGCACTACTTCCAGTCCAGTGTTATGGACTTCTGCAGTAATATATCTGCTTATTAATGTTAACGGTGAGTTTTTCTTTTTCATATAATTTCGCATTTTAGGATGATGTGGTTCTTTATGTGTTATCCCAGTTAATCTACCTATCAGCATCCAAATTCTAAGATCTCTTGATGTATTATCTAAGTAAATTATCGCAGGATGGCAGGCTTTGTTTTGGCTGTCCATATTGCCTCTAATGGTAATAATTTTTTGTTGCAATATAATTCTCGCTAAGTGATCTCTGCTTTAGGAAAGAGGAAATACTAACTATTGGATCTGTTAAAGGTAACCTTAGCAGTTGGAACGAAGCTCCAAGCAATTATAACACAGATGGCTGTTGAAATCCAAGAACGACATGCTGTAGTCCAAGGCATCCCCCTTGTGCAAGTCTCTGACAGAAATTTTTGGTTTGGCTGGCCTAAGTTGATTATTTATCTCATCCATCTCACCCTCTTTCAGGTATGAACTTGCCTCTTTTGTGGGTCATATATCAAAGATAACCTAAGTGATGGAGTTTCTGTGCATTCAATGGCTTATAAGCCACCAGCATATTTCACAAAACTGACGGGAACCATTGATTTTTCAGTTTCCCTGATGGAGCTACTCTGTGTTTTCATTTTCTGGCCTAAAAAATCTCTCCTATATACTTTTTGAAGGGCCAGTATTTTTTTTTGGGGTGTGAAGGTATTGAAAACTATCTAACAAGCCAATTCTGTCTTTTGTGTGTTCAGAATGCATTTGNGTAAGTTTGACTTTCAGAAATATATTAAGAGGTCATTAGAAGACGACTTCAAGGTAGTTGTGGGAATCAGGTATAGTTATGTACATTACGATTTAATTTACAATTTTTTTAGCCTATAGATAATGCTCTGATATGCCGCATATCCATCTGACTTAATTCTTGGCACTACTTCCAGTCCAGTGTTATGGACTTCTGCAGTAATATATCTGCTTATTAATGTTAACGGTGAGTTTTTCTTTTTCATATAATTTCGCATTTTAGGATGATGTGGTTCTTTATGTGTTATCCCAGTTAATCTACCTATCAGCATCCAAATTCTAAGATCTCTTGATGTATTATCTAAGTAAATTATCGCAGGATGGCAGGCTTTGTTTTGGCTGTCCATATTGCCTCTAATGGTAATAATTTTTTGTTGCAATATAATTCTCGCTAAGTGATCTCTGCTTTAGGAAAGAGGAAATACTAACTATTGGATCTGTTAAAGGTAACCTTAGCAGTTGGAACGAAGCTCCAAGCAATTATAACACAGATGGCTGTTGAAATCCAAGAACGACATGCTGTAGTCCAAGGCATCCCCCTTGTGCAAGTCTCTGACAGAAATTTTTGGTTTGGCTGGCCTAAGTTGATTATTTATCTCATCCATCTCACCCTCTTTCAGGTATGAGCTTGCCTCTTTTGTGGGTCATATATCAAAGATAACCTAAGTGATGGAGTTTCTGTGCATTCAATGGCTTATAAGCCACCAGCATATTTCACAAAACTGACGGGAACCATTGATTTTTCAGTTTCCCTGATGGAGCTACTGTTTTCATTTTCTGGCCTAAAAAATCTCTCCTATATACTTTTTGAAGGGCCAGTATTTTTTTTGGGGGTGTGAAGGTATTGAAAACTATCTAACAAGCCAATTCTGTCTTTTGTGTGTTCAGAATGCATTCGAGATAACATATTTCTTTTGGATAACGGTAATGAACTGCCCTGCTCTTTCTTCCTTGTTCTTTTGCATATCTGTTACCAGTTGTATGAAGTAATGTTTTGTGGTACAGTACGAGTTCGGGTTATATTCTTGCTTTCATGAGAATTTCACTCTTGCAGTGGTAAGAGTTGCTCTTGGGTAAGTCCACTTTGTCTGGAATCAACTTTAGGCAAGAATTACTTCCATTAAGTCCACATTCTGCGTTCTAACCTTTGATAATATATCAATTTCATATTCTAGTTCATGCAATTTTGCTGGTAAATTATCATTTTAGCAACATTTTGGTAGTCATTTGAATGCATTGTCACAAGGGAGGTGCTTTGATACACCCTGCAGTTTTTCCGGACTAAAAGTAGCAGAAACATTTGGTTCTTAAACATTGAAGATAAGAACCATGATGTAGATAGAGAATTATCATTTTTACATTGAACATTTGGTCCAAGTAATGGGGAGTTTTATTGGGCAGGATAGGAGCACAATTTTTATGCAGCTACATCACACTTCCACTCTATGCCCTCGTTACACAGGTGAGCCATACTCCACTAATTGCTTCCTCATGAGCCTTCTTTTAATGCCTTTTGTTCTTGCTTGTTGGTAACTGGTGACTTCTGTGATTCAACTACACAAAACATACACAATTTAAGTCCGGAATGATCCCAGATACGGAGGCAGTTCTACTTCAACTAGAAAGTTTCTTAACTATCAATCTCCAAGCTTTCTTGTTTGGAGATTCTCACGCATTCATTCATCAACACATGTTTCATTGTAAAGTTTGAATAACATTACGGTGCTTCTCCCACCTTTCCCTTTCTGCTGCTGTCGGGAACTTTTTAGATGGGATCAACCATGAAGCAGTCTATTTTTGACGAACAAACTTCCAAGGCATTGAAGAACTGGAAAAAGAGTGCCATGAAGAAGAAGAATGACGGAAGGCCAGCATCAGCTCCCACTCGGACTTTAGGCGGGAGCCCAAGTGGATCAGCAGAGAGTTCCCCAACACGTCCTAATCCCCATATGAGTAATGCTGCTACACATACAGCCAACATCATTGCCAGTGTGGATATTCCAGCAGAGCACCCTTCCCCTGATTACAATGGTTTGCAGTCTAGTAACCGTGACCTCCTAACAGGTCCATGATTCTGGCAATAAGGTGGTAAATAGAGGGTAAATGTTGACAGTGTGGTTGTTTATTCTGTACCATACTTCATGTTATGTATGTATAATGCACAGGGGGGGTTTGAAACGAGTATTAGTTTTGTTTCGTCTAACTTTTGAATTTGGTCTATCTGGAACAATGTACTGGTGCAGTGAATCGGCTACAAACCCTTTGAAGTCTATTGCCCTATTGGTCTAATACAGCTCGCTTTTAGTTTTTTTTTTTTTGTATCATTTTAGAAAGTTGTAATTTTTTGATATAAATTTCTTTTCAGTTCCTTATGATTGTCGGACAATTGGTCCCCATCCCATTATTCACCCTGATTATCCTTTCTTGCTTGAGTTTTAGTTTCTTGATCACATGTAACTTGGTTGATTAGTGGATGTAGTGGACATGATGTAACATTGTATATATTACGGGAGTCAGACCTATGGTGTATATTTTTCGTAAGGAAAAATTGAATGGAGGTACATCAAATTAGACTTAATTATAAAAAAATACACAAAAAAAAATGTTGGGTAATTAAGTCTTTAATTGATACTTATTTGTATTTAAGTACATTATTTGAATTTTATTAATTTTTTTGTGACATTTTTGTCCTCCACTTATCTATGTATATTTTCTTTGGAAAGTGGTGTATTAAACATCTCCTAGTTTTATGAGAGAACTTTAATATTTCATATTTGTATGTCCTCCCTTGATTCATGCTAATTTTTTTTGAAAAGTGATTTTGTTTGCAAATTATATTTAATGCATATTGACTCATGCGTCATATATATATATATATATATATATACATATACTTCTTGTTAAATTTCTTATCTAATTTTTGAATTATCTTTAATGCACCTCAAAGGTATGCACTTCATTTAGTTATAGCATTACAAATATATTTGTGTAAATTCATGATTTTAGGAAAGTTCTAGTTCATATGAACCTAATCGACATAAGAATTGGTCTCCTAGTCATCAAATAATGCACGTCTTATGGTTTCCTAGTCGTCAAATTGTGTTTGATTGAGCTTGATAAACTACCTTTTTTTGTAGAGTTTTATCGTTTAATTTGTAATATAAGTTCTCAATATTCCTGTCAATTGAAACATCGGCAATTATGAGACGTTTGCACATTTATTCATTGATTCTTCCTACTAATATTACCAAGATCATGGGTCGATTTGATAGTTGGTATGGGTATAAAAATATAGTGCCATACTTTTTCCAATACTCATGGTGGACTGGGCTTAATGATACGTTGTTTTGGATTGTAGTTTGTTTTGTAAGTATTATTACTATTATATAGAATAATACATCTAATATGCATGATTGGGTAGGCTGAGTTGAGTTGTGTTTTGGTAATTCAATATACAACTCAAACTCATTTAGAATATGTTGAGGCTGTGAAAGAAGCTAATGGTCTTCGTGCTGATGGATGATTCTCTTTTTGCTTGTCCTTTAAGATGTAATATATTGAATTACTGTAGAAGGTCAATACATTTAGTGGATGAGGCAGCAGATACTCTGTTTTAAACCTTCATATCCCAAGTGGTGGCTTAGAAAAGGATTTTTTTTCGTCTTCCTACTCGAAGGACCCTTTTTTTTTTTTTCCCCCCAAGAGTAGCCTGTAAATATCGTTAATCAGTTACCTCAAATGGTCCACAACACATCAAAATAAGGCACTGGAGCTGTTGTATGAGCCAATTCTACAAACTTCTTATCAGTCTTTATACTGCTAAAAAAGCATAGACTACCAGCCTGAAATGAGGAGGAGTGGGGAGCAAGGTTTCCACATGTGGCTCATGACATGGAATAGAAGTGGGTGGCTCATGCTTTGTTTGGTTCATGGATTCAGTGGGTGTAAAGGAAGGAAGGAAATGTAAAGGATGTGATGCATATTAGTTTGGCTGCCATAGAAAATGCATATTAGTTTGGCTGCCATAGAAAATGTAGTGTCATATACAATTGGAATCAAACTTGACACAAAATTAAAAATTATAAAATTTGACAGATGTATCAAAACACAACAAAAATAATGAAAATTTACATAACGCACACGAAATCAAACATAAAATTAAATCAAGAACTAATACTAGTTTGTATCTTATTAGAGAAATTCATATTAAAAAATTATTTTTGTGAGTTTATGAAGTAGGAGAATGAATGAATGAAATCTTAATTATAAGATGGACTTACTTATTAAGGGGGAATATATAGTATGAGTGAAGTTAGTTATTAATGAAGTAAGTATAAAAATGGTGAAATTAGTAGTTTGATAATAAAAAATTAAATGAAATAAGAAAGAATGGACGGATATTAGTGTCACCTTTGATTAATGTTAGGACAGTCCAATGGCTTATCCCATGATATGAACACCACAAAAAGANAAAAAATTAAATGAAATAAGAAAGAATGGACGGATATTAGTGTCACCTTTGATTAATGTTAGGACAGCCCAATGGCTTATCCCATGATATGAACACCACAAAAAGAAGTATTGTAATGTAACAGCTGGTACCCACGATATCAATTGCTTCATCTAACCCCAACCTTGATGAGAGATGAATCATGGGTTGGTTAGGTTTCAACTTTCGTCAACCTTCTGGTGGATGGCTTTTGACTTGGGTTAAGGTTAGTGCAGACCAGAGTTAGTTTTATTTCATTATTTTTATTTTTATTTTNCCTTGATGAGAGATGAATCATGGGTTGGTTAGGTTTCAACTTTCGTCAACCTTCTGCTGGATGGCTTTTGACTTGGGTTAAGGTTAGTGCAGACCAGAGTTAGTTTTATTTCATTATTTTTATTTTTATTTTTATTAGTGGGCCTGCAGTTTAACTAGCATAATTTAATTTTTTTATCTGACAATTTAATATTGATTGGGAGATGTGGGTCCTCATATCTTCTCTTGTTGTTATATGACACGTGTTGGATTTACTGGGGTGGGTGGCTCATGGCTGCAGAGGTGGCCCAGGCTGCTCCAGCAGCATGTAAAAACACGAGTCTCTGTCGTTGAATTGAATCAAAGTTTTGAGGGGTCTGAGATTAGGTGGCTGCCTATCCATAAGATGTTAGGACCAGGACCATATATGTCGTGGCATTTCACTCGGATATCCCTCTTTCCTCCCTCCCTCCCTCCCTCCCTCGTAGTGCGGGAGTAGTAGTAGTAGTAGATATAACTAGATATACAAGGATGATAAATTGAGCTACGTCTTTTTTTTTAAAATCTATGGTTTCCTTTTAACTTAAGCAAACAATAACTCTTTGATTAGACGTCAAAATATGATGATTGAGATATGAGAACCTTGTTTAATTTACAATTACCTCCATCTACCTAAAACTTGAGAAACATTATCCCCCCAAGCCCAAGTCCAAAACTAAAACTAACATAAAAAGTTTGAAACACCAGGGGATGGGATGGGATGGGTTCATGGTTTAAGGTCACTGGTATTGAGTATCAATTTAAAAAGCACTGAAACGCATCGATACAACATTATTGTGTGATAAATAAAAAATGTCACATGGAAGAATAATTTTTAAACATGAAGAGAGTTCAAGTTATATCTTAACGATGTTGTGAAATAATATATTTGTTGATCAAGTGACAATAACCCAAATGTGCTTTGTAGACATTTTACACAACTCTGGCTCAATTTTACGAGATTTGTAATTTATACAAAATGGGAAATAATATTAAATTAAATAGGATTCGATCAAATTATTTCAATATTGGCCCATATTTTGAAGTTTGGTTGGGCCTATTAAGGACATTGAATAGAAATTTGGAAGCTTGCCCCAGAGGGATTGAACAGGTTTATCAGATTAAACCATTTTAAATTGTGCTTAAAACAGTTCGTTAGCTAGTGTTAACGGACTGATAGATTCCTTATAAAACTATCAAAGCTTTGCTGGTTTACACAATCCAATAACTTTTCGCTTCAAAACCACCGACTACTCCTCCGTCTCTCTTTCCTCAATCCTCACCGCTCCTCATATTCAAATCACATGAGTCTTCGTTCCACTACTGTCACCGGCGTAAATTCGTCGTCTCCGCCTAAGGAGTTATCTTCGCCGGACGTCGATACCGTCGACTCTGACTTCGTAGTCATCCTTGCCCTGTGCGCCCTAATCTGCGTACTCGGCCTCGTTGCCGTCGCTCGCTGTGCCTGGATACGCCGGATCTCCCGCAGAACCAGGCGCCCCTCTACCCAACCTCCTACGGCGAACAAAGGCCTCAAGAAAAAGATCCTCAAATCTTTGCCCAAGCTCACCTACGCCTCCGGTGACGATGACGCTGGAAAATTTTCCGATTGCGCGATTTGCTTGGCGGAATTTGTTGCTGGAGACGAAATCCGAGTGTTGCCGCAGTGCGGACACGGATTCCATGTAGGATGCATTGACCCGTGGTTGGAATCTCATTCGTCGTGCCCTTCGTGCCGTCAAATCCTGGCGGTGGGTAGGTGTCAGAAGTGCGGTGATTTGGCACCAGAGGGCAGCTCGAGCTCGGTGGCCGGAGCTGAGGCTGAAGCCAGATCGAAGCAAAGAGCAGATCATATCAGTAGCTTGTTGCCTTAGCATTGATCTATCTTTGGATATATAATAATAGTATTAACAAGGGTTCCGTTCTAAACATGAAGCAATTAATGGTGTAAATAATAGGAGTTGAGTGGAGTATTGTGTTTGTGTACTACGCCATAAGTTTAAGAAAATTATGATTCCATTTTTGTTTTTTATAGTTATATCATTATCTGTCTGTTCGCTATTGATTTCTTTTCTTACTATATATGTATTATTATTTTCAGTCTTTTTGGAGAGTCCTATTATTAGCGTTCTATTTTTAGTTATTGTACATATAATATTAAAAAATAATAAAAATATGTCATGTATAAAATGTTAATAATTCTTTATTTGTTTTATTTTGTTTTCTTTAATTAATAATAATTATAAATTATCCAATTCAAATTTAATGATTGTATAAAAATACGACATCACAATGTTTATTTTTTACTTTTCAATAAAGCAATATAATAAGATAAGATTGTGATATGTTCATTTTTTGAGGTCATCCACCTAATTTTTTGTCATGTAGGAATGACAATAGTTGGTAAACAACCACATGGTAAACCATAAATTTATGTTGAAGATTATCATTAAATATGTAGTTAATGATAGGATTAGGAATGAAACTCCCATTCAAACAACTACCACCACCTTTTGTTGTCCCAACTTACTCTAGTGCTATTATATTTCTTATAATATTATTCGCTTTAGTTATTTTATGAGCCGTCCAATCCAATAATAATAAATAATATATTTTATGAGCCGCGTTCAATCTTGTATGCTATGCCCTGAAAAATGATTACTAATTATTGTCGCTATTAAAGTAATGGCNTCCAATCCAATAATAATAAATAATATATTTTATGAGCCGCGTTCAATCTTGTATGCCCTGCCCTGAAAAATGATTACTAATTATTGTCGCTATTAAAGTAATGACTTCCTTTATATTACAAAAACACTCTGTTCCTTCCACCAACCCCAAATTTTATCTATTTAATTTAATAATCCATTAGTTTGTTTGTTTTATGTCTCCCAATTGTTAATACTTAATTCCTATTTTAATCAACTTGGTCCTCAGAAATCTCATTAGTTTTATTTTTTTCTCAACCGGATTCATAAGATATTTTAAAGGGAGTTTTGGACTTGTTGCAATTAACTCCCAAACCCGACCCATCGAAAAGTTTTATGGATCCATTTAAGAGAAACCGCACTATTCCCAGGGCCAGTAAGCTCAATGGGTTGAATGCCCTACTAGGGATCCTGGTGGCCCATGAGCCCAATGCTGACCAACACAATCCCGGCAGCCCGACGCATCGAGTTAGCCCCCCAGAGTTGAGTGAGCACTGACAAGTAGGACGACCGACTGTGCAATGAGAAACGGTTGAGAATTTGTTGTATAAGAACACAAAACAAACTGGTAACTTGCGGAACCCTAACCCTAGCCCTAATTTTTCCTCAAATTTCTCGAATTCTTGGCATTACTATGTATATCCCTTTTCTATTGCCAGGATGAAAGATAGCAAATGGCTTCAACTATGACTCTACAACTTCATGCGGTTTCTTTTCCGGTAATAGATTTCAAAATTGATTCTTCGTTTTTTGTGTCGGCGCACTTTAATTGATCTCTTTTATTCGCACATGGATTTGATTTAGAGTTTATATTGTGTTGGGAAGCATCGAATTGCGCCAAATGAAGTGGAACTTAAGACCGTATTGGGGTTTCATTGTCAATGCCTAAGTTGGAATCGACAACAGAAGACGTATCCGAGGTTTGTATTGAGGGCGTTTGGTGATTCAGCAAGTTCTGAAGAAGATAAGCGCATTCATGATGAAGCAATTGTCGTAAAGACTCGGACAGAAAACGTGGAGGATTCCCGAAACCCTGTTTCAAGATGGAAACACACTATTAGTTCTCTCCCTCCTGCTATTTTCTTGGTAATTTCTTCCTCTTTTCAATTTACTTATTGGAATGCTTCATTTTGTCTTGCTCAACCAAGGTGCCATTTTCTATCAAAAAAAGAAAGGAAGATGGAATATAAATATCCAAATTTCACACTTGTTTGACTTACTGATATGGCTTTATGAGTTTGGCGGCTCTCTCCTCATAAAGCTGAAACGGGTGGTTTGTTTGAAGGAAATGTTATCCAAGAAGCTGGGATTCACAGGCCAGATTAAAAGAAAACAACATTTTGGTATTTTTTTTAAGTTGGAGATATAGCAAGCAGTGTTGGCATGCCACATCAGTGTGTTTTGCAAATGTACTTTGAAATTCTGGTTTCTGTGGTATGTTTGTTGTGGGTCTTCACATTTGTCTACCCATGATCTTCTTTTTGAGGCAAAATATCTTTTTTCTTTTAAACTGGTGTAAGTTGGTGAGTATATTCAATTTTAATATGGGCTGACCAGCTTGGTCTAGTTCACGTTACTAGGTTAGAATGTAGGTGAAGAATTTTAAGGTTGATAACACTGGTGCTTATGCTTATGTTTTCCATTTGCCATTCCTTATATTTCTTTTGTGTCTTCAGATGAGAAGGTATTCTGGTAACAATTTCGCTGTGGGGATATGTGTTGCGGCAACCTTATTTGTCATTGCTGTGAGATTTTATGTGGCGAGGAAGTCTAGGTACAGTCGCCCTGGCTCTGTAACTGATCTTGTCAGGCGTGGCCAGCTAAGATCTGATAGAAGAGGCATGTATGATTCAAACCTGTGAGCTATGGGTGTTTGTTTCTTTATAGTTTTTAGACTGTAGTTTCGAAATGGAAAAGTATTCACAGAGACCATTTACATAGCACTATCAGGAAAATGTCATCTTGTCACCTGCTATGTGTTCGCTTTTCAACGATTTCTATGATTATGACATATTGTTTGATATGAAACTCTTCCTTGACAGCTCAAGGCCTCTGAAATATGAAGACCCATTCAATAACCCATTGGTGAAAATTGGTAAGAGCAATTCCACCATTGAGATGTGTGGAAAGGTATATCGTTTAGCACCAGTGACTCTTACAAAAGAGCAACAAGATATACATCAGAAAAGGAGGTCACGTGCGTATCAGTGGAAGAGACCCACAATGTTTCTTAGAGAAGGGGATTCAATACCGCCCGATGTGGACCCTGATACAGTCAGGTGGATCCCAGCAAATCATCCTTTTGCAACTACTGCAAGTGACATCGATGAAGATTTAGCACAAAACAACGTGTATCAGAAGCATGGTGTTCCATTCCGTATTCAAGCTGAGCATGAGGCACTTCAAAGAAAGCTTGAAGCCCTACAAAGTGTAAGCACTTTTAAAACTTACGGTTCACTTTACCAGCAAGGAAAATCAGACCTATCTGTTTGATATCCTTTAGTGATTCATTGCCTATAATGGATCAAGTAACCTCATAGGAAGCACTAACACTTCCCTTGGTTTGCATATTAGTGTCAGACACAGATCGATAGATGGACATGCTTTGGCACATGCTCAGACATGTTGCCAAATTATCTCGACTTCTTTTTTTTTCCAAAGATTTCGGACATGCTGGGAAACGCAGGGATACTTTGTAAGGCATTATGCAATTCTTCCCTTTAAATTGTGGTGAATGTCAGATGTCTAGAAGTTACTTAAGAATCGAAAAGATTAGAAGATGCTGTTTCCTTACGACCATAGGCTTCAACCAATGTAAAAACCACAAATTGATTGAAAAAGCGATGCAATACAAGTTTTTGGTGCTGTCCCCCTATTATTAGGACCATATTTTTGGCATTTTCAGGAAGTTTCAATCGGTCGCTGCTTCCCCTCTGGAGACATACTTGTCATGCTAGAAGTCATGCATGAAGCTTTGAATGGTTCCCCTTTGTTTAAAGTTTTTTCGTTGAATTTGGGTCCAATGATTTTATTGTGATTGCATAAATGTGAGATTGAGTGATGCTTGAAGCTTTTAATGGTAGAATGGATGTTGTACCTTACTATAATTAATGAACTTTGTGATCCCTATTTTGGTTAATATAAGGTTCCTTTTATTATGCAGTCATGAACTATGAATGTATTACCCCGTGTGTTTGCCATCTTCATGTCCTACTTTTTTGAAAAAGAATTGTGTCAGTCTATCTGTAAGCGCCCTATCCGANTTAATGGTAGAATGGATGTTGTACCTTACTATAATTAATGAACTTTGTGATCCCTAATTTGGTTAATATAAGGTTCCTTTTATTATGCAGTCATGAACTATGAATGTATTATCCCGTGTGTTTGCCATCTTCATGTCCTACTTTTTTGAAAAAGAATTGTGTCAGTCTATCTGTAAGCGCCCTATCCAAGTTTCCCAAATCCGTATCCATATTCATGCCCGTGCTTTTTATGGAAACAATGCATGCTTAATTTGTGGTCTTCTAGGACCACATGATAAAACCCAACTTGATTCCAATTGATGGAATTTTAAAACTAGTCCTACAGTTAATGGTCTTATATATGATATCTGCATCATCAATTATAATTCTGAAGCATCTGATTTCCTAGCGCAATCTTGAAATTTGCTACATTTCTGATGACTATTAGAAAATGAATGAATCAGATTATTCTTGTTTACTTGGTCTGTCATAAATTATTTTCTAGTTGGAATTCATCTTGTTATGGAACTGCTCAAGTAAATATATGTTATTTTTGAGGCTTCCATTTTTAAATTAGTTTTACTATTTCTCGAGTTTATATTCCAGTGACGAATTTATAAGAAATATGAATACTATAAATACTGTTTGCTCATTTTTATAGTATTCATCTTGCTCATATTTTCTATGGTTCTGTTTGGCTAAAAGTATATCTTGGGGTTGATCTATATGAATTTTCATGTCTTTTAACACATGCTAGCAAATCCTTACTGATTGTGCGTTTGATATCATTTTACTTTGCGTGCTTGTAGGAGCAAAAATTAAATAATTTATTTGTTGATCCTGGAGTCGCCAAAGATTTTGAGAGACCTTCCAAATTCCATCTGAAGTCTGATGAGCAGAAAGAACAGAATCCTTCTAATAGTCAAGGGAGCTCTAAGCCTCCCGAAACAGATCGTGCTCACAATCCCTTTGAAAGCATTTGACCTCTGAGGGGGTGTGGAAGATCCAACCTTCATCTGATTCCCAGCAATATTCTCCTAACCTTCATAAGTTTTGTGCACTGTGGAGACCAAAAGTTAGAGTTTTAAGAAAGAAAAAGCCGAGTTGTTCATTTAGTGGAACCAGTTTTGAGTCCTCGTGTTGCCAAGTTCAGAGATCTAGTTTGAAAGCAGTGAAGACTGGAGAATGAGTAGAATCTAGTGTTTTATATGTTTCAGAAAAAAAGGTTTTATCTATCTTTACACACAATTGCATTGTATATTTGTTGAGAGCTTGGTGTTGGCAATATATTTGTAAAGGGACAATGATATCATCCAATCCAAACTCTAGTATAACTTCAGCACTGATTCACTTGTTCGTGACAATTGCTGGTTTTCCTTTTGTATCATATGCACTGAATAGAGGAAGTAATAGGAGTGGACTGTGAACAGCAGATCGAACTCTCTTTTACCTCTCTGAACAGTAATTTTAGTATTCATTTTTCTTATCCCTTGGCAGACGGTTAAGATAACTACAGCCAGCCATCAATGAATAAGCTTTAATTAAGCTAGGCAAATGAACATACATTTATTTGATCACCATGTGCGTCCCTGCTGTGATGTTTTCAACACACTGGAACTTGGATGATGGAACATGTTAAATCCAACCCTAAAATTGCAAGATCTATGCATGCAGCTTCGTCCAAGTTGTCTTACTAGGACTCTTTTAGGCATTTTGGTTGCTGACTTGATCATCCCCTGACATTGTACCTGTTCTGTCCCAATGATAAATACCAATTTACCGACACCAACTGTATTGTGCCATTGTGGTGGTGCTGGAAGTGATCGTGGTTGTGTTTTTTATTTCCTTCCCTCTGCTTCCTCTTCTTTTCTGCGAGTTTAGCAAATGGAGGGAGGGGAGGTTTCCTGAACCATTTTCCAAGATGAGTATTGCCGTGTTAACTTGATATCTTCCTTTATTCAAGTACATGGATTACACCCTAATTCAAACTTTGCCATACAATAACGCAAAACATTTTAATCCTCAATGTAATCACAGTGCACAAAACTCGCTGGAAGGAAGCTGAATTGTCGAGCGGTATCTTAGCAGCAAATGCAATGAAAGAACTGACATGCTGGTCAAAGTTCCTCATCATTCATTCTTGGTAATATCAGCCTGCCTTGCACCAACAGCAAAGAATTCTGTGATGACTTCTAGGGGCATACCCTTGGTTTCTGGAACCCTTAAGAAGATGAAGACCAAGGAGATGACACATACAGCAGCATAAATGCCAAAGACACCAGCGAGGCCAATTGAATTGAGCATCACAGGCAGCGTGTAGGTAACAATAACGTCACAAATCCAGAAAGCTAGGGCACATATGGCAATGCAGAGGCCACGAACCCGTGTAGGGAATATTTCTGCGCAGAGGATATTTGGGATTGGCCCATATCCCATAACAAAGCAGCAGAAGTAGACTATAACACAGATGGTTGAGATTACTGCATGAGCGATAGTTCCCAAGTCAAAAACATTGGCAACGACTAGGATGATGAGTGACAATATCAACACCGGTATAGTAGTGAGCAGCAGTGTCCTGCAATATGTGTGATAGCACATTTAAACCAATGGTGAAAGGAAAAAGAAGAAAGACACTTTGATATAGATATTTATCATCTGCAGATTGTTTTCTAAACATGCATGGTTAAGAATTAATTAGTATTGCATGAAGCCAAATAAAAGTCTTCACAGTGGCTAACATCAAAAGACAAGTTTTTATTCCAGCAATTTTCTCATTAAGATGTGACAGAAGTAGCTCAAACACACACATCCCAGTCTTAGAGCTGCTGTACAATTGTACTAGATGAGTCAAATATGAAAAGTTGTCCAATAATATGAAACATGTAATTTTATCATACAGCAAATAAATCCAATGTTTCATCCAGCTCTCAAATGGTATAGAAGAGATAAATATTGCTCATTAGATTCATGAATATGTATGTGCATATGCATATGCTTCTTCTTTTGAAGCAATTGGAATAGGACAGCTCAAAAAAGACAAAAAAAACACTTGCAATATAAACACAGTCAAGCGCAGGTTCCTGTAGAGTGCTATATGCACAACCTATCCAACACAGCCGAATGGTACCAGTGTTCTTGTCAGTTGATCTTTGAGAAAGTGTCAAGACAGAAACCCTGATTGTCATCAGTCAAAATTGCAGAATCGAAGAGGAAAAGAGGACAGAGAAACATGGAAAATAAGTTACCTTCTGCCTGAGACATCCACGAATCTCATGGCGACAGCTACACTAGGAAGCATCAAAAAATTTGTGAATGCACTGATAAGGAAAGAGGCAGACTCCGAACTAATGCCAAGGTTGGAAAGCAGAACTTCAACACCTGCCTGCTCAAGAATTTGAGGAGTGTAGTACATGACCCCATTTATGCCAGAAAACTGCACATACAACAAAAGAACATATGAGATGCAAGCAGCAGTGCAACTAACTATGAAGTTTAAGTGTCCTCAATCCACCCCAAAAAAAATAAACCCAAAAGGAAAAAATTAAGTTCAAACACCAAAATCATATTACAGGAAAATCACTTGCCAATTAGTTCTAAATGTCCAAAGAACATATACTTCTCTTCTCCTGAAAAAAAAGATATCAGGACATTGAATTACTGCCCAGCCACAATACATTAACTGCCCCACCACACCCATCTTATGTTAAACTCACTAGGCCAAAACCAAGGAAACATCAAGCAATAGGGATCAAGAGAATAATCCCTTAAAAATTAAGTGTATGACTTAAGGTATGTATCCCTGTTGGATAACTATTAAGTCTATAATCGTATGGGCCCTGTGAGGGAGTCCTATGTAAAATTCTGATGTCTTCGAACAAAAAGAGGAATCATTTTGTTTTAAATTAATGCAACAAGAAGTTGAGAAACTTACAAAGTCCAACTGAATCATCAGGCAGATAACATCTCATGCTGAGTATAAGAAAAGTTTCAGAGTGTGTGTCTGTGTTATCAGAATCTATTCAACCTTCCATAAATTAAAAATCCTCTCAAAGTTTCAGGACGACTGTATCAAGTTTACACCAAGACAAGAGAGGGCTCTTAGAAATAGGGCCAACAAGGTCACATACTTTCGTATTCTTTTCAATGAGGGGGAAGGGACAGTAGGTTGGGGGGCAGAAATTATCAAAAGAAACTTTATGCTACCTGCTGAAGTATTTGAATTCCGATCCCAACAATCAATGCACGCTTGACTCCTGGTTCAAGAAGAGCAGCCCAAATTGGTCCTTTTGAAACAGTTTCAGATGGATGAACCATTGCAGGTCCAACGGGATGTTGATCCATAAGTTCCTTGGAATACAGAGCAGGCTGGCTTACCAGAGCAGCAGCCTGAATAAACTCACCATCGGCAGGACCATCACCATATGGAAGTGAAACAAGAGACCCACGCCTTGATCCAGGTACTCCCTCCTGGTGCAAATATATCCTTTTAAAGCCTCCTTCCTTCTTTCCATCTTCACCTTCTCTCTCAGACCATTTCCATGCTAACTGCCAACCACCACCAATGCCCATACTACTGACTGCTTCGCCAGCATTTCCTTGCATGAGACTGCTATGCCGTCTCATGCTTAGAATGCTTCCATGGGAGGGAGGAGGGACCATGTCCTTTTCCATGCTTGTTGTTTGGCGTGAGATCAATGGGCTCTGCAAGTTGTCATCAGAGTCTGCCCCCCCAGCATCTGATGCATAACCCTCACCTTCCCTCTGCAAACTCTCTTCATCCCACTGTTCATTTTTACCTTGGGGCTCCGCTGTACTAAACATACTGCCAAAATTGGGAAATAGCATGCTTCGCATACTCCCTGCCTCAGGGAGCTTCTCATGGACACTGCCAAAGAGAGTCACAAGAGGATCCATAAGAGGCACACTCTGGTTTACCATGCTTCCTTGGCGGGACACAAGACCAAGACTACTATGTCCAGGCACAGGCTTGGCGACCCAGGAAAGGCCCTCCTCAGGTCCATACAATTTTATAGAGTCTTTTTCAGCAGTTGGTTCCTGATCATCCACAAATTCATCTGCTGGACCGATGATGTACTCTTCTAAAGATGTCTCCCCACCAACAGCCAGACCTTCAACCAGCAAAGCCATCTCACCTGTGGATGGAAAAGCATCAACATAATTAGCATAATTAAGAAAGGATAAGATTAAAGTTATACCACACCACCAAGTGTTCCTAGTTCCTAGTTCTAGTTGAAAATCATAGAAACTTAATAAGAGTAGGGCCCACCAAATTGGTGACATATTCAAACAAAAGACAATTCATCAAAGTTCAAGGATTTGGACTTTTCAATGAAAAAATGGTATTGTTCTGATAATAGACATCAGAATTGTTCTAGCATTTCAAATGATTCTTCAAAGATTCTTTGGATGATATGCAGGGCAAAAAAGATTGGACAACAATATCACAAGAATGAAGATATACACACTAAGTGANAGACATCAGAATTGTTCTAGCATTTCAAATGATTCTTCAAAGATTCTTTGGATGATTTGCAGGGCAAAAAAGATTGGACAACAATATCACAAGAATGAAGATATACACACTAAGTGAACAAGACATTAGACATTTGTCCTCATCAAAAAATAACATCTTGGGTTATTTGAGTTGTTTGGGCTTTGTTGGGTGGCCCCTTCAATCTATCTCATCTGTGTTCTTGACAGAGTACAAATGGGGTGGTAGTGGAAAGGGGGTTCCTCTTTGGCATTGTGCGTTCTTTGCAATTGTTTGGGTCATTTGATTGAAAAAAAATTCGAGAATTTTCAAGGACAAAAAGAAGTTGTGGAAGGTTTGTGGGCCCGGGTCTTTTTCCACTCCTTTTTTTGGGTTTCACTGAAGGATTTTGAGGATATCCCTCTTTTTTGTTTACATCAAGTTGGATGGCATCTTGTGGAAGATGATTTTGAAGTTTTGGTGGTTCCATTTTTTGTATTTTTGTTATCATTGTAATAGGGTTGGACTTCTTGTCCACCATTGCTCAGATAATGTTATCTTCAACTATTAATGAAACTTTGTTTCTTATAAAAAGAATAACATCTTGGACTATGACTAAAAGCTTCTACGGCAACCATGTGGAGTAAAGACGAGTAGAGATTATAACATAAGGCATCCAAGAACTTCAAAAAGCATCAAGGTATCCACTACGTTGATGGTCATTTATATGGAAGTAAAACGTTTGCGCTAGATAAAGAATTAGTTTAATGATATTAACTGCAATTTTTTGATTATATTAATGCTTCAAAAACAAAACTTTATGCTTGTGGAGTAAAGAGACATGGCCGGCAAAATCCCTTTCTTCCACAAAAGTTAGGCTCTTTTGAGAAGGTGGAGGATTTGGCTCTCCATGTGTTTCTTTCCTATGTGATAAAAAAAAAATTCATTTGTCCTACATCAGATTTGCATGTGCGCATGAGCCTCAAGTGGTAACAAAGACGAGGTGTAAACCTCAACGTCGCGAGTTCAAATCTTAATAACCCATTGAGGCTCTCATAAATATTCTAATTCTGGCGTGGATGACTTACCTCTACCCGAACTAGAGAAGAGATTAGTCCAGGTTCGTGTATGCTGGCCCGGATACCCCTGACCATTGAACTTANGTGGAAGGTTTGTGGGCCCGGGTCTTTTTCCACTCCTTTTTTTGGGTTTCACTGAAAGATTTTGAGGATATCCCTCTTTTTTGTTTACATCGAGTTGGATGGCATCTTGTGGAAGATGATTTTGAAGTTTTGGTGGTTCCATTTTTTGTATTTTTGTTATCATTGTAATAGGGTTGGACTTCTTGTCCACCATTGCTCAGATAATGTTATCTTCAACTATTAATGAAACTTTGTTTCTTATAAAAAGAATAACATCTTGGACTATGACTAAAAGCTTCTACGGCAACCATGTGGAGTAAAGACGAGTAGAGATTATAACATAAGGCATCCAAGAACTTCAAAAAGCATCAAGGTATCCACTACGTTGATGGTCATTTATATGGAAGTAAAACGTTTGCGCTAGATAAAGAATTAGTTTAATGATATTAACTGCAATTTTTTGATTATATTAATGCTTCAAAAACAAAACTTTATGCTTGTGGAGTAAAGAGACATGGCCGGCAAAATCCCTTTCTTCCACAAAAGTTAGGCTCTTTTGAGAAGGTGGAGGATTTGGCTCTCCATGTGTTTCTTTCCTATGTGATAAAAAAAAAATTCATTTGTCCTACATCAGATTTGCATGTGCGCATGAGCCTCAAGTGGTAACAAAGACGAGGTGTAAACCTCAACGTCGCGAGTTCAAATCTTAATAACCCATTGAGGCTCTCATAAATATTCTAATTCTGGCGTGGATGGCTTACCTCTACCCGAACCAGAGAAGAGATTAGTCCAGGTTCGTGTATGCTGGCCCGGATACCCCTGACCATTGAACTAAAAAAAACCACCTCTACAAGTTAAGGCCTTCTGATGGTGTGTGAAATACATTTATACTATTTCTTTTCTATGTGATGAAAAACATGGAGTAGAGAGTACTAACACCTACATGTCAAGTTTCTGCCAACTGCACAAGTTGATTGCAAAGAACAATAAGTTGATGTTCATCTATATGTTAACAAAATCAATTTTCCAAATAAAGTATTACTTTGATAACATTAATTCCCTAAGCATTCACTGATGTGTTCTTCATCTCAACACAAGATCTGCTCACAAAGTAAACATACTTATGCTTTTTACACTTTTTTGATGTTTTTAATTCTTTCTCAACTCAACAAAGCCTAAATCCCGACTATTTGGGGTCAGCTACATATATTTTCTCCATTGCACTCTATCAAGGGTTATATGTTCCATTAGAGTATAAGCTATGGTGTCCATTTTTACTACTTCATTCACTATTATTTTAAGTCTACTTCTACCACTCGTATTACTATCGATATATATCAAATCAGTCTTTCTCGCTGGTGCATTATTAGGTCTTCTATAAATAAGTTCAAACCACCTTAGTCGATTCTCTCTTAATTTATCTCATATTGGTGCTACTTCTATGGTTTTACAAATATACTCCTACTATTGTATCGAAAATTCAATTATTTCTGAAACTTCCAAGGTTTTTGCACTATCGTTATAGTGCATGACATATCTTGCATAGGTCTAATTCATGAGCATGTGCTTATATTCATTTATTGCACATATAATCAAACATCTGCATGCACGAAAAGAGTACTATTGAAGTATGTGATAAAATTACTAGATAATACTTGTTCTACCAAAACAAACTGTGTAGGCTAAATACAATTCTTATAGTTGCTCAAGCAGCAGGAGTCAAAACAAGTAACATCCTATGTAGTGCAGCTCTTTAAAAAGTGAAGGGAAATCCACGTATAGATATTCATCCGGTAAAAGATAAATGCCATGAATGTAAACGANGTCAAAACAAGTAACATCCTATGTAGTGCAGCTCTTTAAAAAGTGAAGGGAAATCCTCGTATAGATATTCATCCGGTAAAAGATAAATGCCATGAATGTAAACGAATATATGACACCAGATCAAGTGAAAGAATTGCATGAGTTTGTTTTGACGAAGAAAGCAATGATCCTTTTTTCGACAATTAGCCTGTGGACCTGATGGCACGAAGCTTTATTGTCTAAGTTAAAGGAAACTATGACATCTTATTTTTTCTAAAGCATATCTATAAGAATCTAGTTTCACCGCCAAAGCTCTCATGTCAAGTTCCAAATACATCTGTGGTACATGAGTATTGAACTTTCAATATCATGCTGCACACAGTATAAATGTATTGGCAAGGCATATGCAAATAGACAAGTGGGAGCTTAACCATTTGACTAGGGGGAGTTTAACCATAGGTTACCTGTAATGCAGGAATGATGAGATGTGCTCTTAAGGTAGATCTTATGGCGGTATACAACTCAGCTAGATGGAAATTTCCTTTTTGTAGTGCAGTTGACTCCGCTGGGTTTCCTAAGGAAAATAGTAAATTGGGACAAAACTCATATTGAGTGGAGTTGAGTTGTGGTTACTCCAATGTACGGAGTGAAATATGTGGAGACAAAAAAAACTAGTGACCATGTAGGAAATTGGCTTCTTTATGTGAAGAATCCCAGTTCAATATTTTGGGGGATACCATTATATCTACTAGGTGCCCTTGATAGAGCAGAAAAACAAGATTCATTTAGCCGACCCCCCCAAATAATTGGGATAAAGTTTTTTGTTGAGTTGAGTAGAGTAGAGGAGACCATAATATCTACTAGGTAGAGAGCAGAAGTGCAGAAGACTGCAGGTGCCTATTAAACTCAACTCAGCCTAATAAACTCACGAGGTTACTTTTGAGGTACATGCAGTCTGCAAACACATTTCTCCAGAGTTTTGATAAGCTGGAGGATGCTTATCTTCACAACTACTTCTCTTATCCCGTGATGTGGACAGAAAAAAGTGCATGCAGAACAAAGTAAGCTCTTATTCTCTTGTAACTCTCATTTCATTCAGGATGTCAATGCTTTTGGCTGAAAGCAAAATGAAGTATCCACACAGAATCCCCATCATGCAAACATTAAGAGAAGGAAATTTCTACGCTGATAGGATGGCGAATCTGGGAATTCAGCAACAGGAACAACCCGTTGTCCTGGACCGTCCCCCAAGTTCAATGGTGAGCCCACTGGAAAACGACCTTGCTAGCATCTCCTTTGTTGGAGGATATAGTTAATGTTTTTTAACTTTCCACTGTACCAAANATTCCGAAACGTTTCGGACGTTTCGGACGTGTCGACACGACATTTTGATCCTTGAGTATAGGTAATAATATGCCTGTTTTATGCTTTCACAAAACTGGGCCTTACAGAATGAGTCGTATTCTAATTCTAAGATGCACACTCATTTTATAGCCTATAGCAAACCATTTAGCATCCAAGTCAAGGTTACCAAGTAAATCCATGAATATATAAAGAGATTAAACTGATAGCTCAAGACAAAAGAATAATTATTCGCAAATATGAAGCACTAATGAATGAACCTGAAACATCTTCCCTGCCACGTAGTTTCTGCAGAACTCGTTTTGCCTCAAGCATTCTTCCTTTACTCACAAGCCATCGAGGAGATTCGGGTAAATACAACACTGTCAATGCAAAATAAATTAGAGAGGGAACAGAAAGAACTCCGAGCATCAATCGCCAGCTTGGTGAGGCCATCAAGGACATTCCGAAAACCATACAGTATGCCAAAAACATTCCACCGGAACCAGCAAATTGTGGAAGAGTATTTAGCATTCCCCTTATTTCTGAAGGGGCAGTTTCAGATACGTACAAAGGGACCAGAGTAACTGCCAAACCAATACCAAATCCATCTAGTAGCCTTGCTACAAGCAGGACATAGACATTAGGCGACCACAACATTATCAAACCACTTAAAAAATAGAACATAGATGAGAGGATAAGCATTGGACGCCGACCAATCCAATCTGATATGGGCCCTGAGCAAGTTGTGATAAGTGTGGCTCCAATGAGTGACATTGCCACGACGAGACCTTCTATAGTAGTCTCTAAAGTAAGCTCCTTCTTTATGTAGACAACAGCTCCTGCAATTGTAAAAATATAACTAGGAAAAATCAAGGTTTCTTTTTGCCTCCAGCAGTTGCTAATTAACGACACAGAATGTCGAGCAAGGAATGGGGTTTTCCTTTTGCACCTTTCTTAAGAAGAGAAGAAGCTAAAACATAGACAAAGAAGCAAAGAAAAGATAGTCTTCTGTCACCGAACCAATGAACATGATATGCCTACCAGAAGGATTCAAATCAGTTAAGTCAGTGTTGTTCTCCTCCACAAAAGTGGCATTATTATTAAGGGAAGAGGAACTTCCCATCTATAATGCTAAAAATAAAATGGAAATTTCTTCAGGGAGCATTACTGGGTTTAGATTCAAAAAGCAATATTGAGCATCCGATGAAGAAAGGTACCTGCAATGGTTGCATTATCCCAACCTTGCAAAAAATTGCCAATTGTGGCAGCAATAGCCACTAGCACAGCCCCGTTCATCTTTCTGATTAATGAACTCAACTCCCAATCTTTCAAAATAATCTGAAACAGAGAAACACAGATCNAGTTTCAGATACGTACAAAGGGACCAGAGTAACTGCCAAACCAATACCAAATCCATCTAGTAGCCTTGCTACAAGCAGGACATAGACATTAGGCGACCACAACATTATCAAACCACTTAAAAAATAGAACATAGATGAGAGGATAAGCATTGGACGCCGACCAATCCAATCTGATATGGGCCCTGAGCAAGTTGTGATAAGTGTGGCTCCAATGAGTGACATTGCCACGACGAGACCTTCTATAGTAGTCTCTAAAGTAAGCTCCTTCTTTATGTAGACAACAGCTCCTGCAATTGTAAAAATATAACTAGGAAAAATCAAGGTTTCTTTTTGCCTCCAGCAGTTGCTAATTAACGACACAGAATGTCGAGCAAGGAATGGGGTTTTCCTTTTGCACCTTTCTTAAGAAGAGAAGAAGCTAAAACATAGACAAAGAAGCAAAGAAAAGATAGTCTTCTGTCACCGAACCAATGAACATGATATGCCTACCAGAAGGATTCAAATCAGTTAAGTCAGTGTTGTTCTCCTCCACAAAAGTGGCATTATTATTAAGGGAAGAGGAACTTCCCATCTATAATGCTAAAAATAAAATGGAAATTTCTTCAGGGAGCATTACTGGGTTTAGATTCAAAAAGCAATATTGAGCATCCGATGAAGAAAGGTACCTGCAATGGTTGCATTATCCCAACCTTGCAAAAAATTGCCAATTGTGGCAGCAATAGCCACTAGCACAGCCCCGTTCATCTTTCTGATTAATGAACTCAACTCCCAATCTTTCAAAATAATCTGAAACAGAGAAACACAGATCAATGGATTGAATAACTGACCATTCCCATCAACAATCCCGATCTAATAAACTCTCCGTCAGGGGATTTAAATCACTGCAGTCTGCAGAAATGGCAGTGGGTTTGCATGCCCCAATTCTAGTATCTAAACAAACCCATGGTCACTGTATTAATAAATCACAATTCTGCTTGTCTGATGCCATTATATACTCATATACAAACTAGTATTTATAATAACAAAATCCAGGAACGAATAAACAAGAAAAATTCATCAACATCAATAAGTCTAACCTAGTGACAAAAAGAATTCAGCGATCCAATGACAGAAAACCTTGTTACCTTCTAGGAACCAAAAGGTCAGCTTTGAGAGACACTTGAAATGAGAGCAAAGATCTTGGACTATCAAAAGTAAAGCAAAGAGGCTCGTGGGCGTGTGTGTGTGTGTGTGTGTGTGTGAGCCCGATAAGAGTACAGCTAAATGGCACAAAAAGCTTTCCTCTTTAGGGACATCAACGTAAATATCTACTGACCAAAAGAAAGAAAAAAACACAAATATCAGGGAACAAGCTAGCTGGGTTTCTTGAATGGAAATCTTCGGTGGATACTGACAAATTAAAGCTTCAAATAGAAGTTGCAGAGAGTGAGAGAAAATGGTTCAAAACGGAAAGGACGCACACCAACAACCCTTCGGCATGTGTCAACATACTCATTAATTTTTTGACTGGAAAGAACACACATCAAACATGAAGGAATGAATACCAAGAAGAGAAGAACTCAAATAGAATTAAAGTCTATAGACAAACTTCAAGTTTGATTTCTGAAGATTACTAGGTAATTCAAAGGGGAGAAAAAAGAAATTTTGAAATTCAATAAATTTGAACTGGTTTGGAGAAATTAAATTAAGTTTTAAGGTTACAATCGGAGAAAGTAGAGAACAGACAAATCAACCAACCCACCTTGACCCTCCAACCAAGTCCAATTGGATCCAGAAACAAAGTGTTATACGTATTGTAGATTGTATGAAGGAGGTACTAGGGTCTCTAAAGAGTTGTAATCAATGTACCTTTCTCTGTTATTACTATTTGGCTCCGTCCGCTGGGAATGGACAAAAGCTCGTCTTCTGATACGAGTGAGGGATCGAAAGAGCGACAGATGGGAGTGTCTGAGTGAGCGAGTGAAGGAGACTGGTTGTCCACGATTTTGGCCCTGTGTTCGTGCTAAAAGACTGAATAGACATAATAAGTTCCCATAATTATGCAAATCATGACTTATATTCTATTCTCTACGTATCTCTTTTGCTTTAACTATATATATAATGATGTTTCGGTATACTTAAGAGAGGGGTGGGTCAGGGTCAGGGTCAGGGTCATGTGTCTGACAAAAAAAAAAAAAGGTATTGTTTCACCCCCCTAATAGGAGGAGATTATTAATCCTTTCCAGGTAAAGAGTTACAACAAAAAAAATGTTTGATAAATACTTTAATTTATATCAAATTTAATAATAGTTCTACATTAATTTTCTTAAAAAAATTAATCAAAATTCATTGTCCCAGTCCAAAATCCCATCGATCTCTTCCANAGTTACAACAAAAAAAATGTTTGATAAATACTTTAATTTATATCAAATTTAATAATAGTTCTACATTAATTTTCTTAAAAAAATTAATCAAAATTCATTGTCCCAGTCCAAAATCCCATCGATCTATCAGGATCCCACCGGAGGCATCCACAAGTTTGTTTCTTCCAATCAATCACTGACCTTATAAAAAGAAGTGATAATATTCTTAACATTTTTCCCATGCTTATTCTTCTTTTTGGTTGCACGCACCGTCTGCTATAGCTTTAGGCTTGTATTTCTTTTCTTGTACCAGCTCATTCTTCTCTTTTATCATGCCATTGGCTGTTTCCTTTTTCTCTGTTCACCGAACTCCGCATATGACAATTTATCAGAGACACCATGGACAATCCTCAAATGAATGAATTTCAAGATTATTATTTTTTTGACTATAATTCATACACTAAACTTCGAAAAAGAAAGTACAAATATAAATATAACATGTTCAAAGATTTATTTCATTTGACACATATATAGACATGACACACATCATAAAGCTACAAAACACAAATCAATGTAGAGAGAGTAAAGATGGGTTTTTTTTTTCCCCAAAAAATTGGCCAAGTCTTCCGCGTGTTTTTCCAATTTTTTATGTATTCAAAAAAACATTTTTTTTTAAGAAAATTGGTCATACTCTAACAAATTTGCTGGAAAAAAAATATACTTACCAAACACATTTTTATTTTTGAATTTTATTAAAAGTGAAAATAAAAATGAAAAACTCAAAACTGGAAAGTAACAAGTGTGGATTGTAAATCTGTTTTCGCAATCAACAATGCTATTTGGATAAAAAACATTTGTTGACTCTCAATATTACTATTATTGACTTAATTGTGAAGAGAATTACAAAATATAAGGGTGATAACCGTGTTGTATTAGATCAGATTTGTATTTAGTATTAATTTAACTTATTTAATTAATCGTATCGTGTCAATCTATTTATTTTTGTGTCATGTTCGTATCTAATACTAGTCAACCCTAACATAGCATGTTTAATTAATCCAATTATGTCGTGTCAATTTATTTATTTTTATACCATGTTCTTGCGGACTCATATAACTTGTATTTAATGCTCAGTGTTATTTCTTATTTTCTCTTGTCTCAATATTTTTTTATCTAAATAGAATTTCTATTTCACAATTACGTTAATTTGGAAAATACTAATATGACTACTAAACAATTAAAAAATGTGGTAAAGAAGGTAAAAAAGTTTCCTGAAAGGGTTGTGATTGGGAAGGCCAGAGGCGACTGTTTTCGATTTCTCTACGCGAAAGTTGGAGATGGCGTTTATGAAGGGAGAGCCGTTGGTAGCGAAGCTGGCATTGCTGGCCAAGTACGGGGTGCTACCGGGAGCCATGATAGCTGCTTTGATCTACTCTCCTCCCGATTACGCCTCTACCAAGAAGCATCATGATTCCTCTTCTCCATCCAAGTAGATACGCCCCGCCCCTCTTTTCTTCCCCACTCTTCCAACTGGTACGTAAACGTGTTCTTCTTATTGTCTTTATGGTTAGGGATTCTATCTACTCTACTCATAGATGTTTTATTAATTTGAAATTGACGTCCGACTTACCATGCTTGATCTAGGGTTTACGATTCTGCTACTCAATTTTCTGATTAGGGATTTTTTTTTTGTATTTTTATCTGCTTGTTCTAGGCTCGAAAGGTAGATTATTGGAAACGTCAAAATCTCGGACTGTGACAACAGTGTTAATTGATTAAAATTCTCATTTTCTTCACAGAAAAATTGAAGTCCCGATTGATGTGCACGAATTATTCTTATGATATTTATTACAGTTATGCTAGTCGTTACTAGGGTTTTGATATAGATTTTTTTTCGATAAGAAATTGTGATATGGATTTAAAATCTAAAGATTTACCACATATTTGAAATCACTAACTTTTGGAGTCCATTGTTTGGGTAAAAGGATTTAGTTAATGGATTCTTGATTGAAGGAGTACAATTGTTTTCTAATCTATAGAACTTCTTGTAAAATCAATTGGGGCCATTGTCTCATCTAGTGTGGATTGGGGATTGAATCAGGCCACCTCCATTCACTACCAAAATAACAAGGCCAATTTTACACCATCCCTGGATGGCTACAAAGGTTGAGACCGAAACCACATTTCCATTTGTCCCCTGTCTAATATGCATGCTAAGTATCAACCGATATCAATTCGACTTAGCCGAGTTATTTCTGATTTAGTACCTTCAAATTTGATACCCCTCCACGATTTGTGTAAACTAAGAGACTCGTGTAACTCGACTGAGTTGTTCGAGACATCTCCGATTCAACCTTCAGTTGTTTGAGTCATTGTCATTGAATCGACCAATTTCATTGCTATTGAACTTTTGCTTCTATGTAGCATTCCATATGTATCACCCATTATATTCCGCAATGCTATGACCTTTGTATCTTAATACCTCCGAGTCAATGATTGGTATTGCGGCCTTGAGCCATGTTGNTGAGGAATCCGTTCTAGCAAACAAACACAACCCTTACACACATGTGGGAGCACTCCTTCGACCCTTCCTGCATATCCCTATAAGACTGAGTAGGCAGGTCAAGGTCCTATGAGGTACCCACTTCTTGGAGTACCCTCTGTAGGCCTACAATCAAGTTCATGAATTTTAGACCTCAAATCCTTGGTGTTAACATTTATGGATTTTAAATCTCTATTTCGTGCAACTATTCATCGCTTAAGCCATAAATGAAAATAGGTCCTAAAACTTACTGCAAAAAATGATAGATTAGAGCCAGACCAAAACATGTGTTGCAAATTATAGTAATTATTTCTTTCTTTTTCTTTTTTCTTTTTAAACAACAATTGCTATTTGCTTAATTAATTAATTTTGATTTTAGTGGAACCCATTAGAAAATGTTCATACCAGTACTAATATGATATTTCTCTATGATTTGAATCCTTTTCCGAAGTATGGCATTTTCCTTTTTTTTTTTTTGGTTGAAGACGTGTGAACTTGTGCAAGAGAAATGACAGTGAAGTCTGTGATTTCTTTTATGGAGTGTACATTGCCACTATAGCATATTCTAATCCAACTGGGTAAAAATAATAGCTTCAACATGAAAACATCTTTTGTTTTTAAAATAGGGAGAATTTCATTTTGCACCCTGAAAGATTTAAAAAATATTGTAATGTGACCCTTCTATCAGTTTTTATTGCTTATTCCATCAAAAACCATCACATTGACGTTGACATACTGAGTAACGAAAACTAATAGAACGGCTACATTGCAAACACTTTTAATGCATTGAAGGTGCAATGTGAGAAATCTAATATTTGAGGGTGTAAAATAAAAATTCTTAAATCTTTTATTGTGCAAAGTGTAATTCGCCTTTTAAAATATGGGCATTGCATAAATTTTGTGGCATATGGCAATTGAAAACATTTTCCATCTCAAATTTGTTGCACTAAATGACATCAGTGGAATCAAATTAAGAGAGAATGAACTTGTGTATTTCTGACTGGTATAAAGATCCATTGTTGCACCAGCGATAAACAATGATGATCAACCAATTGATCGAAATACTAGAGGTAGAGATAGATTAAAATTAACTTCAAATTAAATTGTATAAAATGACATGGCAAATTGTGTTTAGTAGATCATATGACTATTGATTGAGCACAATGACAAAACATGATTTATGTAGCCAATTTCAAGTAGTTGGGGCAATATTTTGTTGTGTTACGTTGAGTCCTATTGGTCCAGATCTTTGTATTTACTACTTGTGGTTAAGAAAAGATTGTAATGTTTCTAGATGCCTTTCTTGAGCATTAGAATGGATATTTCAGTCATCGATTGTGCTAGGGGTGTGTTACTTGAGCATGTTTATAACAAAATTCCCGTGCATTATGCTTTCTATGTTTTCTCTTTCCCTGTAGTCTTACTTATGGATAAGCCTAGGTCTCTTTGGTAATTGTTTGAAGTTGGAACCACAGTTTCTGATGGCCCAATTGGGCGAAGTTCTAATTCAGCTTGTTGACGACAATTATAAGCATTAAAAAGTATAAGGTACACGCATGCAACTTTATACAAAGGCAGCAGCAGCACATCTGTTCTTACAATTGGCATGCCTTCTCCTACAAGAACATAGGATTAAACTATATTATATAACTAACTGGTACTATTACTTTTGACCCAGGAACTTTATTGACCACTATGCATCTTTGCAGCAGNGCAGCAGCAGCACATCTGTTCTTACAATTGGCATGCCTTCTCCTACAAGAACATAGATATATTATATAACTAACTGGTACTATTACTTTTGACCCAGGAACTTTATTGACCACCATGCATCTTTGCAGCTGCCTAGAGTTCCTTTGGATGGAGCTGGTATGTAGTAATCTTCATAGTCACTTCGTTGCTGTATTTTGGTTGTAGGCTGGTGGGAACTTGAATATGTTGTCCCAATGAACTTTTTAAGCACTCTTTCTTGACTTGCTCTACCAACAATTGAGGAGCTTTTAATAAATGCCGATTACTTCTGTGGTACCATTGTGGAATGTATAATCTTTGTGCATGGACTGCTTTTTAATTGATCCTTTTCTCCTTTTTCGTTGCGCTCTGAGTATTATGTATCATGTTGAAATTTGTCCAAAGGTTTGTTCTAATCTGCAGCTGCGGATTAGGCCTCAATATGAATTCGTAGCTTAATGTTTAGCTCTATGTAGTGCCCTGCAGCTGGCCGACACAAAACATTTAGAGAATGCAACTTATTTCTACATAAGATCTCATCCTTTTGTGGACCAAAGTGATACAAACAAACCAGTCCAAAGAAAAAATAAACTCGAATACTGTAACTGTTGCATCATTAATTTTGTTAGGCGTCTCACTTAATATATAAGGGAGGCTTCCTTCACTATATATTTGAGTGTGTTATGTACAACATGACCGAAAATTGTGTTTTTTGGCCAACTGCAATCACTACCTTTTAGCATGAGAGGATAAAGAAAGGCCATCAAAGAGCTCTTAGCATCCCAAGTTTTCAACAAATGGTTGGGGTTGGGAATCTAACAGCAAAGTTTCGACTTATCTTTTGAAGTCCCGGAAAAATCACTTTGTATTACAAGTCTACAGACATGATGAGTTGCATCGTTGCTGCGTAGGATTTGTTACAAGCCTTGTGTTCAAATGTTTCCTTTTGATGGTCTTAACACCTTATGCCANAGAGGATAAAGAAAGGCCATCAAAGAGCTCTTAGCATCCCAAGTTTTCAACAAATGGTTGGGGTTGGGAATCTAACAACAAAGTTACGACTTATCTTTTGAAGTCCCGGAAAAATCACTTTGTATTACAAGTCTACAGACATGATGAGTTGCATCGTTACTGCGTAGGATATGTCACGAGCCTTGTGTTCAAATGTTTCCTTTTGATGGTCTTAACACCTTATGCTAAGAGCAAGGTACAAATCATTTTGAAAAATATTAGTTTGAGATTTCCCCTAATGTTGAATTGTGACATTTTTTAGGGATATGTGGTTCTTCATTTCACTGGTAATATTATCAGGGGATAAGGTATTTGAGATGGAGTTTAATAGAAGACACCAAACAAGAGGAAAAGTCTCGCTTTTATTCAATCTATGCAACATGTGGAGGGAAGCACTGATTGTAATTTCTCTGCCTCTTCGATTGTTGCATATAAATTATCTATGTTGTGTGATATGAANACAAATCATTTTGAAAAATATTAGTTTGAGATTTCCCCTAATGTTGAATTGTGACATTTTTTAGGGATATGTGGTTCTTCATTTCACTGGTAATATTATCAGGGGATAAGGTATTTGAGATGGAGTTTAATAGAAGACACCAAACAAGAGGAAAAGTCTCGCTTTTATTCAATCTATGCAACATGTGGAGGGAAGGACTGGTTGTAATTTCTCTGCCTCTTGATTGTTGCATATAAATTATCTATGTTGTGTGATATGAAAAACTAATATATCAATCAATCAATCAATCAATCAAAGAGGGTTGATATTACACTAACCTAATAAAACCTTCTTCTCATCTTGTGGTGTGGGGTATAATAAAGCCAGTTGAAATTGATCAATGCTGCAAGGACAACAAACACTCGAGTCATGATGCGCATTCATGTTCTAAGATAATATAATCTATCTTACGTCCTTGTACGTATGTTCCATCTATCTTTGCTTTTGTTTTTTTTATCGTCGGCGTCAGCCTTATATTTTGTCAAATATTTTTTTCTCTGCTACTTCTTATTTTTTTATTTTTTATTTTTTACTTTTCTCCTTCAAAGAAAAAAGGTTTAACATTTGACCTCTCATNATAATCTATCTTACGTCCTTGTACGTATGTTCCATCTATCTTTGCTTTTGTTTTTTGTTTTTTATATTGTCGTCGTTGTCGGCGTCAGCCTTATATTTTGTCAAATATTTTTTTCTCTGCTACTTCTTAATTTTTTATTTTTTATTTTTTACTTTTCTCTTTCAAAGATAAAAGGTTTAACATTTGACCTCTCGTAATATTATTTTATTTATCACATAACAGTCTATTTTGTTCTGCAAAAAAACAAATATTATTTCACGTCATATACAGAACATAAGACATCATTTTGTCTTCATGGAAGACGAAACCAGAAGAACCCCAGGAACAGTAGCATATGACTATGGGATGTCGTACCTTTTTTTTTTTTTGTCGTTATCTGTGATGAAAGTGGTTGTGGACGTGCCATTATTAATTAATGAATATTGGGTTGGCAACACCCCATGCCATACTTTGATTGATTCATACAGTATACTCTCTTTTATACACCAATCGATAGTGCTGTTTCACTACACACAACACAGGCCTACTAGACTAGGGGTAGCTAATCGGGTCCTGCAAAACCTAGCCATGTACAGTTAACTGCACATGCATGCTTGCAGGAGGGACCCAAGTCAGAAAAATTACACGTGACGTACATTGTCAATACAAAATTATAAATGTCCAATGAATGTTTAACCCCTATCTATTTCTTAGATTTTTTTTTTTGTTTTTGTGAGTAAACCAACTTATATGTACCATAAACTTTTTTTGTGATTTTGTGACAATAGTACCATGTGGTGTGTAGTGTCCACACTGAAAATTTTCTGCCCAATTCCCATCATCAATCTTACAAACATATCCCCAGCCAACNCACGAACTTTTTTTGTGATTTTGTGACAATAGTACCATGTGGTGTGTAGTGTCCACACTGAAAATTTTCTGCCCAATTCCCATCATCAATCTCACAAACATATCCCCAGCCAACACCACCACCACCACAATGCCATTCTGTCCTTTCTCCACCACCACGTCGGTCCTCCCCCAAAGTGTTTAAAGCATCAATTCACGAAGCAATAATGAAGCAATACAATTACAAATCAAGGAGTGTAACTCTACAATCACATAACAATAATGAAGCAATACGAAAAAATAATAAGCAATACAAATGATAGACAGCATAATCTCTCTTAAAGGGATCAAAATGGAAACTCATAAATCTGAAGCTGCAGCACATATTTATCCATATATAACATAAATGAGTTACGTGCACGGACTGCTTATGATGGGTGGCAGCCCACAACATTTACAGCAACATTGCATACATAATAAATTTCTATAGAGGAAGGTATGAATATTGTATGTACTGTATAGCCCATGCTTATAGCGCTAGGACCAGAAGATGTTAATTAAAGATGGAAAGGCCAAGAATCTGCAGTGGCTTTGATGGAAGGATCTACAAACACCTGAAAGCCGGCATTGTTGAAAGCAACTGGAGTACTGGACATGTCATTAAGAGCATCTGCTCCAGCACCAGATGAGAACCCCATTACACTGCAATCCCACCCAAGAAATAAAGGATTCTTATAGGTGGTGCTTTGCTGATTCTTATATGCCCCGCGCAACTTAGCATCAGATTCAGATAGTTGAAAATGGAAAAAGTTGGCTTCTGTCTTGCACTGTTTTGGAATAGTGGCTGCTGCTGGTTCCTGATGTGAGAGGAGAGACTTGAAGAGGATGGATGGTGATGGTGATGGTGATGGTGATGGGGATGGGCCGTGGTAGTTGGTGTCTGTGTCTTTGTTTGATGTGGTGATGCTGTTGGTGTTGGGAGTGGGTGAAAAGGAGGGTTGGAAGAACCCATTTATTGAAAACAGGTTTGGTTGGGAGACAAGTGGGTGGGTTAGAGGTATCAGCTGGTTACTTTCTTGACGGTGATCAATGAGAAAAGAGTTTTGGAGGGAATGCATTGGGTGGTTTTGGGATGGGGATTCCAATAGTGTTGTTGGGGTTTCAAGCAGAGGAGGTAGGGAACAACTGGTGTTGGGAGATGAGGAAACTTCCAACAGGTAGCTATTATGTCCTTGGAGCACTGGGTTTTTCTTCTCACCCATTTTGTGCACTATTCTGCATATTACCCATTCCTCCTGCAAATTAAAAGAGACATTTCGCAATCATAATTTACACGAACTAAAACATATATATATCAACTAGAGTAATATTATTGAAATCTAAAAAATTGAACTAATTTGTTAATTTAATGACGTGACAATAACATAATCAAATAGTATTATTTCANCATATTACCCATTCCTCCTGCAAATTAAAAGAGACATTTCGCAATCATAATTTACACGAACTAAAACATATATATATATCAACTAGAGTAATGTTATTGAAATCCAAAAAATTGAACTAATTTATTAATTTAATGACGTGACAATAACATAATCACATAGTATTGTTGTCACGATAATAACATTACACTATGAACTAACACTGCTACGTTTTCTTTAACTTCTGTATTTTAACATATAGTTGTTTCTTTCTCCGGTCTGAAACAATTTCGAAGTGCAGGCACTTTCAATATAAAACATGCTCTATCTAATCTATCTATCAGAAAAAGAAACGAAAAAGAANACGATAATAACATTACACTATGAACTAACACTGCTACGTTTTCTTTAACTTCTGTATTTTAACATATAGTTGTTTCTTTCTCCGGTCTGAAACAATTTCAAAGTGCAGGCACTTTCAATATAAAACATGCTCTATCTAATCTATCTATCAGAAAAAGAAACCAAAAAGAAAGTAGAGCAACTATGATAAGTTTCAACCATATATTGTGTTGGTTACTGATCTTCTACAAACAGTACGTAGCTTTTTCGATTCTCTTTTCACAATGATGTCAAAAATAGTCAAGTGACAGTGGGCAACTCCTAATCGGCAGGTTTTCTATTGCCAATCTCAAGGTAAGTCCCATCATCCAAACCCACGAAGAAAANCACGCACGCAGGATTTGTGCCTTTGTGGGGGAGGGAGAGAAAGAGAGAGAGAGAGAATACGCTTGAGGTTAGGGAGGGATGCTTATGAACGAATGAAGGGTTTATTGTGGGTTATATACTTGTATGGCATAACATATCATGAAGCCAAATGTAGTGAGAAGCACTCAAACCGAAAGAGAAGGAAAACTATGAGAGAGAGAGGGCGNAAGAAGAAGTCAAACCCTAAAACGAATTGTTCAGGGGAAAAAAAACCCTAAAACGAATTGTTCAGGGGAAAAAAAACCCTAAAACGACAAAAACAAAATATTTGGGTGTAGGGNAAGAAGAAGTCAAACCCTAAAACGAATTGTTCAGGGGAAAAAAAACCCTAAAACGACAAAAACAAAATATTTGGGTGTAGGGTATCATAAATTCGATTATGAGGGCGCACGTTAGAAGTGAAGCATGCGTGTGGGTGTTACCTTGCACGTGTGACTACTGTAGGAGAAGTCGCCGTCAAGGCGGTACTCGTGCATGACCCATTTGGTCTTCTCACCACGAGGGGCTCTGCCCTTGTAGAAAACCAGCGTCTTCTTCATCCCAAGCAGTGAACCACTCGAAGCACTGTACACCTCTCTGTCTTTCCCTGTCGNGACTACTGTAGGAGAAGTCGCCGTCAAGGCGGTACTCGTGCATGACCCATTTGGTCTTCTCACCACGAGGGGCTCTGCCCTTGTAGAAAACCAGTGTCTTCTTCATCCCAAGCAGTGAACCACTCGAAGCACTGTACACCTCTCTGTCTTTCCCTGTCGCTTTCCAATACCCAGCCCCTGTGGCTCTGTTTGTTCTCAACCCAGTTGGGTACTTTCTGTCTCTCAAGTTGAAGAAATACCATTCTCTCTCCCCCATTTTCGCCACTTCTGTACAAATACAATCACACATACGTTGCAATGATCATAAGATCAATCCAGTTCACCAATTTTTTTTTTGATAATGAGAGTAATTAATTTGAGAGAAAAGGCGAAACTGCAACTAAAACCGACTCTCTCTCTCTATCTCCAGTTTTTCCGGCTGAGCATTGCGCTTGTCTCAACACGAGTCAATGTGAAAATGTTTGATATTTTATGGTTTGTACAAGGAGAGAGATTTTTTGGCCAAGACTGTACGTATGACTGGCACTAAAATGTAGGACATGTATCATGAAAATATGGGGTGGCTGTAAGAATAAAACGCAATAACCAAAGAGAGATATGTCTGAATGATTTAGGTCGAAAGCTGCTGAGTCGTTTATTAAATTCTGGTTCTAAATGTACTAAAATCCTTATATTCATTGAGTTGTTTGTACATGCACACAAACGGGAGTAAGTACTGGACAAACAACTTGAGCCACAAGATTGCAGAATCAATGCTGTGTGACGAATCAACTATAGTGCTCCGGTCTGTGACTTCTGTCTTAGCTCAATAAACAAAGAAATTGTTGGAATAGTTTGTGGCATTATTTGAGACAGACTGAAAAATATGTTTATTGATGTTTTCCATGACTTCAAAATATGTCTGAAGTCAGATTAAATGTTACACCTATTAATGAATTTGAGAGTTCAGATTTGTGCAGTATACGGGGACATGCAAAACAAGTAAAGCTCAAGAGAAATCAACTATTCTTGTACATAGGTTAACCTTCCCATGCTATATTATGTCATTGACTTGATCAGAAACAACGTACCCGGAAGCTCCCAAGGCTCACATCTGTTGAGGTCTACCTCGGCAATCTCCACACCGCAGAAACGGCCGTTAAACACTTTTGAAGCCAGATAAAAGGTAATAAGCTCTTCATCAGTTGGGTGGAATCTGAACCCTGGTGGCAAACCCTGCTCGTTCACGTCTCCTCCAGTCAGTTCACACAAAATTTCTTCCATTCCCAACATCTCCACACACGCACGCAGGATTTGTGCCTTTGTGGGGGAGGGAGAGAAAGAGAGAGAGAGAGAATACGCTTGAGGTTAGGGAGGGATGCTTATGAACGAATGAAGGGTTTATTGTGGGTTATATACTTGTATGGCATAACATATCATGAAGCCAAATGTAGTGAGAAGCACTCAAACCGAAAGAGAAGGAAAACTATGAGAGAGAGAGGGCGATTCTGGTTCATAAAGCCTATGACAGTAGCTACAGATGCCCACCTGAAAGGGGTACCAAAAATAGGTAAAAAAAATTCAGAAAACAAGAGTTGTGTGGAAGGTGAACGGGGTTAGTAAATGCGAAGTTTGTTGCAGAGATTTATGCGTGCGTGTGTGAGCATGTTTAGATATTGAGTCAGATTTTCAGATGATCATAGACATAACACAACACGAGGGTAGCCCTCAGAAACAGTGAGATCATCCATGATCCCTCCACCTAACTTCTTTTAGTTTTTACAAACCCCAAAAAGGTATATTGCAGCCCTAGCTAATACCCACAAATACAAATATACGACCCCACTTTTCGATGCACCCTCCTCAAATTTTGAGAGATTTTGTCTAATTTCATATAATTTCTTAAAAACTTTTGGCTGTAAAGTTAATGACTTTAAAACTGTAATGGCATTTCAAAATCCAACGCTGCAGCCTTCTGATTTTCTAAGGTGCTAAGTTCTCAAGCTTTAGAAATGTGTCACAAACGGGAACAAATATTCGGTGAGTTATACACAAGACATGGGGCAGTTTTCAGTGGTGTACACATTCAATGAAAAGTTATGAATAATAAAAAATGAAAACTATGGTAAAAAAAAAATGAAAAGTTGTGATAATAATAACTCTGAACTATATAAGTTGAGTTTTTCAAAAAAGTATTCCGACAAAATAATAAGTGATAATCGTTTGTTGAAAATGTATAATATTTTATTGGTGAATGTACATCACTTTATACCGTCACGATATAGATACCAAAAAAATTGTACTTCATTTAGCAGTGGTGGTGCATAATCTATTTTGCTTTTGCCATTAAATTCTCAAGTTGGGATTGCCAGAATAGAAAAATGGGATGCTCTGAAAATGAAAAGAGCGTTAAAATTTTCTCACTTTTCTGTCGTGACTAGCCAAGCTTTGCCACATTGGTCTGAGAGGGAGGGGCTGGTTGTGAGCCAGTAATTAACTAGTAAATTTGTATGCACGTCGATTGGATGTGTATTTTCAATGTTTTTATACAATATTCTTTCTTCTGGACGCAGATGAGATGGCCTTGCCAAGATAAAGCAGCTGAGTTTTGTTTTTTCAATTTCCTATTCCTCACACTGTATGTTAGAGAAAACAAACAGCCAAAACCCTTCATTACGTCGCACAAGAATTCGAGGAGGATAGGGTGTTTAGAATCTGGGTATTAAATTGAAGGTCACCTAGGCATAACTAAGTTAGTGTCTAAAACCAGGCAAAAGATAGCAACTGTGAAGAGGATTCAATGCAGTGCACACACACACGCACGAGGACAATAATAAAGATAATTTTGTATTGTTGTAGGGTTACATAAGCCTAATGCATAGCACAGAATAGCATAGCATGGGTCGGTGGTGGGTACGTACGTCGGTAGGTAGCAATTTCCCCATTAATTAACACCTCTGTGAACATCCCTATGGATTACTGTACATGGTCCTTTAGGTCTCAGCTAGCTAGCTAGGGAATTGATTTCTCTCGAGATTTGAACTTGTTTTATTCCATTATTGTAACCCCATTGCATTGCATGAGTTTACTTGCGGCTTTGGACGTACTGCTCTGCAACCTCAGACAATCAATTAAATTTTCCTCACTCGAAAAACAAAACGAAAAGTACTGAAAATGAAAAACCAAAGAAAAAAAGAGAGTTCGGTATGGATCTCTGCTCTCTCTTGTGGTGACAACATCAATCAGGACTTCCAATTTCACAACTAGAATTTGATATACTAATTAATGTTGTCTAAACAGCAAAATAAATGATCATTATTTGACACATTATCTAGCACAAAATATTTATTAAAAAATAATATTAGGCTGACTAAAATTATGGTACAAAAGATGTGAAAGTTCATTGATCCCCACAAATGAAAAGACCTAATAATTCCTAATTAGTTGTTTGAATTTTGTCCTATTAATTATATATTAAGATATCGATTTAGTCAGTATTCGATTAGTGGGTTGACCTTCGCTTAACTCTCTTTAACTTCTGTCTTTGTAGTATTTCTAATTAAAAATACCAATATCACCTTGCTGGTAATACCTAATTATAGGAATGTTGGTAAATCTCAGTTAATTAAACAAAAACGCCAAATGATGGAACTGAATTTTTTTTGGGGGGTTTCTAAGACTGAAAATTTGATATGTTATTTTATATAACTGGAGTATTACCCATAGTTTCTATGCATGCCAAATTTCTTACGCTACAAATCTTTTTTTTTTCTACATCTAGCTAGAATTTTGATCGCAACAGTCTATTTTACTGATTAATGGTTGAAACAAGTAACAGGCCATGTGATGCGACCGTGTGGGAGGTGAAATTTCTTCTTGACCAAAAAAAAAATGAAACAAATATTTTAGTTGATGGTGTGTTCCGTAAAACTGAGTAGATGTGAAGTGTTTAAAGATTTAGAGATTAATGGGATGTCCACTCAGAGTTGTTAGGTTCTTGTGGAGTTAAGTTAGATGACAAAGAATAAAGATGAATAGATAGAGAATTTATAGTGTTTTACTAGCTCAGAAGTTTGGTTAATCTATTTTAATGGAATCTCTTCATCATGGGGAGTTTTTTATTAATTAAGAGGAAAGAGATTACACAATGTAAAAGCATAGATGATTGCTTGATTCTAAATGCGAAGGATTTGGCCCTATTTATAGTGTATAATTGTCTTGCGTGATCTCTGTAATTCTCCTGTAACCAATGTCATCCTAGCATAATTAACGTGATTTTCCTTGAGCCTGTTGTGACCTATGTATCATAATATTTGGCTGTTACGGGTTGTATTTTCTAGGTGTGACATAACTTTTTAGAAGGTACTAGTTGCGTTGTCATCACATGCACGAGGGTCTCATTACTAAAAATTATTGACCTGCACATCTCGGGTTAGTGATCATGAACAGCAGGATTTGAGTTTAGAAATTCGAGTTGGGTGGTCCGTGTTTAACCTTGACTAATTTTTGGTTTCATCTTCACTAATAATAAAAAAGGAGAATGAAGGTTTTGTATTATTTTCTTAAAGATGGTTATTGTACGAGTGATTTCTTATAATGATTTTGAGATAACAACTATTAGCTAAATTTGAATGAGATTATTGAAATAAGGAACGAAGTTAGAAAAGGACCAGGAGTGTACCATGCTTATTCCCTCATATGCTTAAATAAGTTGACGCCCAAGATTAAAAGGATAAGTGTATTGCACATAACTAGTTTAACATGTATATTTGAGTTCTATCTCAATAGATTATTTATACCTTCAAATAAGACGATGTGACAATCACTTGAGCATATCAACAAGTTTCTTGTCATCGAGTTGTGCAATAAGTGTGCCCTGTCATGCCTCATTACTTGGCGAGGAGGAGCAATCATAACTTCAATACTCGAGAGGTCGAGCATTCATTAGTTTTCACTCCTTTCCATCAATTCATCTTGAATATCAAGTGTTTCATGTCGAATATTTATAGTTCTACACTGAGCATTCAATTTAATTCTCCCAAGTGCTATTCACGTCAGCGAGGACAATGAGCTCTTTTATTTTTCCGGGGGTTCGATATAGGAACCAAATTAATATGATAGGGTAATGATTATTCGTCACGTTACAATTACTCATTCGGATAGTCCGTGAATATGTCTGTTCCCTCATCGAGCATATTTACTCGTCCTTGGGGGTGCTCGTCGTTTGGTCCTGACCCATGGCAGTCGAGGGACGCACCTGCTGGCTGCACCATGCTACAAGTCGACTCATTATTAACGAGCCACTCACATGTTATCAGTAAATTATAATATAAAAATTTATACAAATTCAATTAAGTTCACAGATAAAAGTTCCACTTCCCATGACTCTCCACTCTCCACTCTCCATCTCTCTCTCACATCTAACGTATAGACGCGTAACCCACACATCAATTTAGTGGGACATTGAAATGCTGAAACCAAAACCCAGCCCCCGGCCCCCAAACCATGACCCAACCACCTACGTCCACTCATTCCACCCCAAACCAACATCCCTCCATCCTGTAGAACCATCCAACCAGCCCTAAGCCACCACTGACCACCCTCATCCACTACGCCGTTTCCCAGCTCTCTGTCAACCCATTTAGCTACCCTTTTCTCCGCGATCCACACAGTGCACACCCGCAGAACCCCCATCCCTTAATTATTTGATTAAGCGATGCATCCAATATCGAAAAGGAAGGTAAACTGCATGGGGCATACTGAAACACAAAAAAAAAAAGGAAGAAAGAAACAAAACGGGGAAAAAAAAGAAGGAATGCCCGTACGTAGTCCTGCTACAATTATATGACTCATTCTGCAATCCAGCATTGATGATGGTAGTAGACCTAACCTAACATTTGCCCTCACTACTCCTCCGCAATATATCCAATATTGGTGCCCATTGATGTAGACAAGACGCTCTCTTGTAATATCTATATATATAGATATATATATATATATACATACATATATCCTCAGCCTCAGGTGTATGTCTCAGTCTCAGCCTCATGGAGAACTTGTAGTAGCTAGGCCCATGCTAAGAAATGAGTTTTGCATATTACCCAATTTATACTCAACCAGTTAAACAAATACCATGAGTCTTTGTGGCTTGATGATATATCATTTTCACCTCCTATTCTCTACGCTGGTGACCAAATATCAAAACTCAGGAAACACAATTGCAGTGGGATTTTAAAGTGCTAAACATCCACTTAAAGATTTAAGTGAGAAAAGATCAATTTTCNAAAAAAAAAAAAAAAAAAAAGGAAGAAAGAAACAAAACGGGGAAAAAAAAGAAGGAATGCCCGTACGTAGTCCTGCTACAATTATATGACTCATTCTGCAATCCAGCATTGATGATGGTAGTAGACCTAACCTAACATTTGCCCTCACTACTCCTCCGCAATATATTATATCCAATATTGGTGCCCATTGATGTAGACAAGACGCTCTCTTGTAATATTGGGGGGTCTCTGGAAGGATGTAGTTAATATTCATTTGTGTCTCTTTGATCGTAAGAAAAAAAGGGAAATAATACAAATGAAACTAACTAATATAATTACAGATTCAAATATCCCTGAACAATTAATCCACCAGAGAAAAGAAGAGAGATTAATGCATGAAAGATGTGTTGTAAGTAGAAGTGAATAGAATGGGTCCTACCGCCGACGTACGTACCACGAGGGGAAGCATAGAATAAGGCATGGTTCAGTAGGGTGCAGTTATCAATTATTAGAAGAAGAATGGTTATGGTTATGGTTATGGTTATGGTTATGGTTTTGGGTAAAGAGAGTTAANCCACGAGGGGAAGCATAGAATAAGACATGGTTCAGTAGGGTGCAGTTATCAATTATTAGAAGAAGAATGGTTATGGTTATGGTTATGGTTATGGTTATGGCTTTGGCTATGGTTTTGGGGAAAGAGAGTTAAAGACGTTAAAGTTAAACGGTACGCACGTGCGAAGGCGGCTGCCTGTCATCAGACTTAGAGTAGCGACTTGTACAGTGGTGCAGGTGAAAAGGGCGGGACCACTTCCCACTTGGCTTTATGTTATTGTCATTTTACAAGGAAGGAAGAAAAGAAAGGAACCAATTATCAATTATTTTAACATAAATGATGTGCCAAGCACCTCACTCTCACTTCATGCTACACGATTTAATAGTGTTTATATTGAGATGATGAGTAAGAATGATGCTAAAAGATAATAAATTTGACATTGTTTTTATTTGAATTCAACACCGAGTAAAGAATGCAATCACACCTCTCTCTCTCTCTCCTCAACTCTAAACCGTCAATTAAACAAGTAAACAATTGCACCAGGATTAACCGAGTTGGAGGATGAATGTATGTATCATCATAGAACCTTACTTTAATCAAGAATCTCATTATTGACCGAATCAAGGCGATCTAATTCATTGGCCAATGCAAAATCTCACCTCTCTCCTCAATAAATACCTAACAACGGCCAATCAACTGTCCCCTGCCCCTGAGCCTGAGGCCTTCCTTTTCTTCCGCCACATAACGTTTTCTGATTCCTTCAGCTTCTAATGCCTTCTCACAAATCCAAGGATCCCTTGTTCCTTTAGTGGCCATTTAAATAGTTCAGGCATGTTATAACATACAATATTTGTCAATCCCACCCACATCAAACATGTTGATATGAGTCTAGCTAGGTTTTATAGGATTAGGTTATATAGACGAATTGATCGCTCTGTCAAAACATGAACAAAATAACTTGGCTGATTAACAGTCATTTGTGTAACTGGGTTTATGGCTGGATTTTGAATCCCTTGATTGTGTTAAGTTGACCCATGCCTGGTGGTTTTTAGAGACAATAAATTCGGACCCGATGGGTTTCTTCTAATAATGCTAACTACCTGGTTTTAACTCATTATTGAGCGTGCACGGCTTGGAGGTGAAATCCTGACTTTCCCTAAGAACGAGGCTGTCAATTACACTGGGTAAATCTCATGTCAAAATACACTTTATCCATATACGATTCGTGTCTAACAAATTATATATAAACGAGTCGTATCGTATATGTCTTTTAATTGATTTTATTCATACCCGTTTCGTTTATTAATTGTGTCGAATCGTATCGTGTACATTTATTTACAAAACGGGTGATTTTTAAAAAAAAAAAATCAAAATTTTTAATTTGATNCTTGTACAGTGGTGCAGGTGAAAAGGGCGGGACCACTTCCCACTTGGCTTTATGTTGTTGTCATTTTACAAGGAAGGAAGAAAAGAAAGGAACCAATTATCAATTATTTTTACATAAATGATGTGCCAAGCACCTCACTCTCACTTCATGCTACACGATTTAATAGTGTTTATATTGAGATGATGAGTAAGAATGATGCTAAAAGATAATAAATTTGACATTGTTTTTATTTGAATTCAACACCGAGTAAAGAATGCAATCACACCTCTCTCTCTCTCTCCTCAACTCTAAACCGTCAATTAAACAAGTAAACAATTGCACCAGGATTAACCGAGTTGGAGGATGAATGNGATGAGTAAGAATGATGCTAAAAGATAATAAATTTGACATTGTTTTTATTTGAATTTAACACCGAGTAAAGAATGCAATCACACCTCTCTCTCTTTCCTCAACTCTAAACCGTCAATTAAACAAGTAAACAATTGCACCAGATTAATCGAGTTGGAGGATGAATGTCTGTATCATCATAGAACCTTACTTTAATCAAGAATCTCATTATTGACCGAATCAAGGTGATCTAATTCATTGGCCAATGCAAAATCTCACCTCTCTCCTCAATAAATACCTAACAACGGCCAATCAACTGTCCCCTGCCCCTGAGCCTGAGGCCTTCCTTTTCTTCCGCCACATAACGTTTTCTGATTCCTTCAGCTTCTAATGCCTTCTCACAAATCCAAGGATCCCTTGTTCCTTTAGTGGCCATTTAAATAGTTCAGGCATGTTATAACATACAATATTTGTCAATCCCACCCACATCAAACATGTTGATATGAGTCTAGCTAGGTTTTATAGGATTAGGTTATATAGACGAATTGATCGCTCTGTCAAAACATGAACAAAATAACTTGGCTGATTAACAGTCATTTGTGTAACTGGGTTTATGGCTGGATTTTGAATCCCTTGATTGTGTTAAGTTGACCCATGCCTGGTGGTTTTTAGAGACAATAAATTCGGACCCGATGGGTTTCTTCTAATAATGCTAACTACCTGGTTTTGACTCATTATTGAGCGTGCACGGCTTGGAGGTGAAATCCTGACTTTCCCTAAGAACGAGGCTGTCAATTACGCTGGGTAAGTCTCGTGTCAAAATACACTTTATCCATATACGATTCGTGTCTAACAAATTATATATAAACGAGTCGTATCGTTTATGTCTTTTAATTGATTTTATTCATACCCGTTTCGTTTATTAATTGTGTCGAATCGTATCGTGTACATTTATTTACAAAATGGGTGATTTTTAAAAAAAAAAAATCAAAATTTTTAATTTGATGTCGTGTTAAAGAGTTGTTTTATATTTTGACATCTGCAATTTAAAACTTAAATAACTACCTTCACAGAGTCATCTCTACGGAATTGAATTGCCTTAATCGAAGCCCAGCCCAGCATTCAACCCTTGCTTGTATTTGCTAAAATTGCACTGGGTTAATTGGTTCAGACCTACTTCCATTTGGTCTAATGGGCCTTAGTCCTCCTATCTAATAGTTAGGTCCAACCCAAAGCTTTAAGTGTTACCATTCAAAAAGAAGCGTCCTTGACCAAAAATAAACGTAGGCATTGCAGTTTCCGATGTTTCAGATTAAAAAGCAATTCATGCCCCGCCCTGCGCTGCTGATTCCAAGCATCTGGATCGGATCTTCATGGGCTCCATCATCTTCTCTCTCTTCTTTTTTGTTGCCTCTCAGAGTTGAATTTTTGAGCTGGTGGTTTTGTTGCTCTATAGATTAACTGTAACACTGGTTGGGAATTTTTATCCCCGAATCAGACGTCAACTCTCTAGTTGTATTTGCATGAAATTGAGGCACCATTATGAAGTATTTTCCCTTAAAAGTCAAAAAAACGAAACGTACCTATTTTCAATTATTAGGTTAGAATTATANCTAGTTGTATTTGCATGAAATTGAGGCACCATTATGAAGTATTTTCCCTTAAAAGTTAAAAAAACGAAACGTACCTATTTTCAATTATTAGGTTAGAATTATATGTAAACACAATTCCAACTGAAATAACATTGACAATTAAATTGGGATACATATTTGGTGGAAAACATGATGGTGACATTCATAAATAAATATCTATTTAGTCATGTAATGGTCGATGATGCAACTGGTGATAATGTGTCATGTCTGCCACAAATACTTGCCTCACAAGGTATGGCACAGTTGTCTAAGGCTAATGGGTACTATTGGTAGGAGGTTGTGTCCTCCCTGTTTCCACCATGTTACAAGCATCTGCAGATACCAAAAAACTTGTTCTACGGTTCATTTCTTGCTGAATTTGCCAAGCTTTTTGTTCTCTTTCCTTTTTCCTTCATCGCAATTTGCATGATAAGGAGACAACACTGCAGGGAATGGAATGAGTGAGCCCCAAGACTAAAAAGGAAAAAGCACATAAGAAGATCAGATCCTCCCCCCACCAAAAAAAAGCAACCTAAGTTGGACCCGTCAAAGCCAATCATTTGGTATGCTTGAGATTCACATACACTGCTTTGGGCAGACGGGAATGGAGCCTTGGAGCTTGAGCTAACAAATCATAAGCTCTTCACTTCTCTCGATAGAACCGTTTTCTTGTTTTCTGGTTTACTTGTTTCTTCTTGTTTTCCCTTTGAAAAAAGAAAAGCTAGCAATCCAAATTAAAGCAGATGAGTTCACCTAGTTTTACCAACAGACCCAACACCCAGCATCCACTTTACTGTTTATTCTTCCTTCTTTTCCTATCTCCCCTCCCAAGGGCTATATAAGTTATCCTTCATTCCCAATCTTTTTATCCATATTATTCCTTCCCTCATTCCTATTGTTCCAATTCATTCTCTCGTTGTTGCTCTGTTTCTCTCGTCTGCTAATATCATCAAGTTCATCATTCCTTCATGGAGGTACTACTACTACTATTATAATTTTTCTTTCTCCTATGACTTAGAATGTTATCTCTCGCTGGGTGCAATAGTGGAGTCATTCCTATTGTCTCTTCATGTTCATCGAATTTTGGAAATTGTGGTGTCAGTATCAAGTATATCTTTGTCCATAACAGTTGAAATGTAACTAGCTGGGAATGGATTCACTTCATTAATGCCAACTATCCCAACCACCCCTGTTCTGATAAAATGGGCAATAAAGCCACAGTTTTCTTGTCATACGAGATGATTAGTTTCGTAGGGAAAACAAGTCTTTATGGGATTTGAGTTCATTAAAGGGTGCTGGTTGATGTCTTACATTCGAACATATATACACCACACCATCTGCAGTTAAAATCCNCGAGATGATTAGTTTCGTAGGGAAAACAAGTCTTTATGGGATTTGAGTTCATTAAATGGTGCTGGTTGATGTCTTACCTTCGAACATATATACACCATCTGCAGTTAAAATTCCAAATCTTGCGTACTAGCTCGTTCTTTTGCATCTTTCCTTACCCTGAAATATTGTTCGCTGCAGACTATTGAATTGAAGGTAGAGATGGTAGGCATACATGAGAAGAGACTGCGGAAGTGCCTGTCCAAATTGAAAGGTATTTTGTGCTCTCTATCTTTGTCTCTCTTTGTGTGTGTACAGTTATATAAGACAACAGAAGAACGCTATGTTAGGCTATCATTTACAGCTAACAAAAGATTTTGCATTACATGGGAGAGGCGTAGCTAAAGGTTCTTGTCTGATGTGCTTTTTAACACTAGATGCTGGGAGTGATTTGACTAATATGACAATGGATTAGAATACTAACATTGGCCTACTTGATCACTTCCAAGTTTTTGAATTTGTAGTTGATTTTGTGTGGTTTTTTGACCAATTTGATTTCTTGGTTATTTATATACATGACAGGGATAGAGAAAGTAGAAGTGGATGCAAATAGTCAGAAGGTGGTTGTAACAGGGTATGCACATCGGAACAAGATACTTAAAGCAGTGAGAAGAGGCGGTTTGAAAGCTGACTTCTGGTCTGCCCAAAATGAGCTACTCAGTGCATATGCCAGTGCCAGTTACGGAAGCTTGAGATTCAACAACTTCAGCTTGTTCTAGAGAGAAACAAAGACAAATATAATATTATTTAATGTGTGTGTTTTCATATTTTATTTTTTAATTTTCTTTATCCTTTTTCTTTTACAAAGAAACTCTCACAGGTCAATTCATAGTTAAAAGAGTGAAATACAAGTCTTAAATTTTGCAGCTTTGCCAAGATTTTTGTTGACCGAGTTTTGAATCTGCAGTTGTTTGTAATGTAATCATGGTTAGGACTAAAGAAAAGGGGGGGATTCTATCCAGCCACCTACTTTTGCCCTTTTGTAGCCTCCAGACACGAACCATAAATAAATGCCATATAATCGTATTTGTTTTGGGTTTTGCTTCCANATCTTTCCTTACCCTGAAATATTGTTCGCTGCAGACTATTGAATTGAAGGTAGAGATGGTAGGCATACATGAGAAGAGACTGCGGAAGTGCCTGTCCAAATTGAAAGGTATTTTGTGCTCTCTATCTTTGTCTCTCTTTGTGTGTGTACAGTTATATAAGACAACAGAAGAACGCTATGTTAGGCTATCATTTACAGCTAACAAAAGATTTTGCATTACATGGGAGAGGCGTAGCTAAAGGTTCTTGTCTGATGTGCTTTTTAACACTAGATGCTGGGAGTGATTTGACTAATATGACAATGGATTAGAATACTAACATTGGCCTACTTGATCACTTCCAAGTTTTTGAATTTGTAGTTGATTTTGTGTGGTTTTTTGACCAATTTGATTTCTTGGTTATTTATATACATGACAGGGATAGAGAAAGTAGAAGTGGATGCAAATAGTCAGAAGGTGGTTGTAACAGGGTATGCACATCGGAACAAGATACTTAAAGCAGTGAGAAGAGGCGGTTTGAAAGCTGACTTCTGGTCTGCCCAAAATGAGCTACTCAGTGCATATGCCAGTGCCAGTTACGGAAGCTTGAGATTCAACAACTTCAGCTTGTTCTAGAGAGAAACAAAGACAAATATAATATTATTTAATGTGTGTGTTTTCATATTTTATTTTTTAATTTTCTTTATCCTTTTTCTTTTACAAAGAAACTCTCACAGGTCAATTCATAGTTAAAAGAGTGAAATACAAGTCTTAAATTTTGCAGCTTTGCCAAGATTTTTGTTGACCGAGTTTTGAATCTGCAGTTGTTTGTAATGTAATCATGGTTAGGACTAAAGAAAAGGGGGGGATTCTATCCAGCCACCTACTTTTGCCCTTTTGTAGCCTCCAGACACGAACCATAAATAAATGCCATATAATCGTATTTGTTTTGGGTTTTGCTTCCATAAGAAAGACTAAACTTGTAATTCAATGGCAATTTGCTGCTCTAATTTCTGGAAGAGTCCATACATTTTGCCGGGTAATTGGTATATATATTTAGAGTTTATGATATCATACAGGTTGGTTAACAGATGTGTGATGGAAATAATTCTATATTCTAAAAAACGTTATAGGAAGCTCCATGATGGTGCTCAAATTTTAATCGGTCAATCTTTTGTTTGTATTTCTTGCGGCCACCATTTCAGATGCAGTAGTGTCTCTCTTTTTTAGCCACTTACCATACTCAGATGTTGGAATGGTACTCAATATATTGTTGTCATTTTCAGTTTGGCTGCAACAAAACTAAGAAAGAAAAAATCTTTTGTCAAAGTCACTCTTTTTAGCAAAATGTTAGGAAGCGAAAATACAAATATAAAAAAAAGGTGTAAAATGTAAATCCTGATGCAAATTTGTTATGTATCGGGCTAGTGGAAATAAAAGCATAATTTTCAGGGGTGAAAAAAAAATTTATGCGGGTTAGATTAGTATGGAAAAAAAAAAAAAAATACACTGAAATGCAAAAGCAACCGCCCTCCAATCCATCACCATGAACCAAAAATAGTCGCATTACTACGTACTATCATGATCCCGCCCAGGCCCATTGAAAAAGGCCTAAATCAATCCGGCCCACGTAGCGTTTGCCAAGAAAAAACTGTTGGAATTAATTACAGTTCACGGTCAACGGAAGGAACTTCGTATCGGTCTTGTCTGAAAGTGAAAGATGGGGTGTGGGGGGAGAGAGAGAGAGAGATCAGAGTGAAATGAAATTACCTCCTTTTCTTGGACAATCGATCCTCACTCAGCAGTGTTTGTGTTCAAATGTGCAAGTAAGTAGGTAAACACACAGGTCTACATATATAAATATACATTCGAAAGCATAAGAGCGAGAGGATGCATTTAAGCGAGAACGAGGGGATCGAAGGCAACATCTTCGTGATAACGGGAGGGTTGGGGTTTGTTGGCTCTGCTCTCTGCCTCGAGCTTGCGAGAAGAGGTGCGCGCCAGGTCAGAGCATTCGACCTTCGAACTACGTCTCCTTGGTCCCAGGATCTCCACAAATATGGCGTCCAATTCATCCAAGGTGATTCCAATTCTTCCTTCACTGTTCCATCAATTCGGGTTTTATTCCCATTTCGTCTGATTGTTGGCATGTGAAGAATGCAAGCAAAGAGAACAATTGCTCAAACCCCCAATATTTTCGACGGAATTTCTTTCATTTGCCTCAAGCCTTCAAAGCAATTATATGAGGGCCTTTTAATGTTTCATTAGTATGTTCTATTCGTCGATCAAACTCTGATTTTTTAACCTAGGATGATTACTTGATTGTTTGATTAGTGATATTGACCCCAAGGGTTTCGATCGTATTACATTTAATAATATGTTACAACCATTTTTGACTCTTTTTTTCAGTATTTTTGTGTTAACTATATAGTGTGTTGAAACCTACATACATAGAATGCTGATTTCTGTGGTACATTGATCAATCATTGATAAGATGATATATTAATGTTATTGCTATTGAAATTACCCAAGGGACCTATGTGCTTTGCAACTGTATTTGACAGAGATTTATTTATGTTCGGATCTATGTTATTATTGCTCTGCCATCAACATTTCTGCAACAAACGCATGATTGTGTTTGTTGATGCAAACACACTTGTTCTTTTTACCCCTTGCTCCAACATGCTCATTTTTGTGCAATAATACTTGTAAAAATTATGGTTGGCCGTCCATTTTCCTTTTCACTGAATGAACTGAGAATGAAGCTCTATTGGTTTAGTTGATCCTGCTCTAGGTTCCAAAAAAAAAAAACCCAATTTTTCTAGATTTCTGTTAACGTATCGTAAAGTTCTAAAACGTTCTTCAAAAATTCTAATTCTGATCTTTGCTTACAAGGTAATGCAGCCATACATTCAGTTAACTAATAGTTGTTATAGATAGTTATTTTGGCTGGGACTCACTTGGCCAATTATTTACACTGATAGGGGATGTCATCCGCAGACAAGATGTTGACAGAGCATTACGTGGGGCAGACTGTGTTTTCCACCTTGCTTCATATGGCATGTCTGGGAAAGAAATGCTTCAATATGGTCGTGTCGATGATGTGAATATAAATGGGACCTGCCATGTCTTGGAAGCTTGTGTTGAGCTCACAATCAAGAGACTTGTATATGTGAGTACATACAATGTTGTATTTGGAGGAAAGGAGATCGTGAATGGAAATGAAACCTTACCCTATTTTCCTATGGATGACCATGTTGATCCATATGGCCGAAGCAAATCTATTGCTGAGCAGCTAGTTCTGAAGAGCAATGGTCGTCCTTTCAAGTAAGCAATTCTAATCTTAGAGTTTTATTGGTATAACTGTAAATTATTATTCAGTTGTAGGTGTAGTTGAAGTTCTGGTGATTCAAGTATTGTAACGTTCCACATCCACACGGATTTGTACTAAGTGTATTATGCTATATATATTTACTATCTAGTATCAGTTTATAAAATTTGAAACATTTTGTGCAAACAGTTCTAGATGACATGCAGAAAACAATTTTACTATTCATCAAAGAGCTGTTAAAACTCTCAATATGATGTATCTTTACAAATAGTGAAAGAAACAGGCAAAAGTTATAATGCAAAGTGTCATAGTTATTCAGCCTGGGGTTCAGCTAGGATGGTCATGGCATTAGTCGACCTTTGGTTAGGTGTTCACAGTGGAGTGTTGATAATTGTATGTTGGTGATCATCTCTGATAACTCTATTTTTCTTTTTAAGAGGATCCCTTCTTCTGTTTTCGCATCTTCAAATTTTCTTCCATTCTCTCCATTCCAAACTGCAAAGAGTTTTCCTTTATATTTTTAAATTTATATTGAGAGAATTGATATGGATTTTCCATCTGTATCCTTGGAAGCTCATCTGGGTGTAATAATGTGGTTTATGCAATTATATAGTTTTCCATGTTATATAGGAAGAAGAATGGGAAATGTCTCTACACCTGTGCAATTCGGCCTGCTGCTATATATGGACCAGGTGAGGAGAGGCACCTGCCTAGGATTATATGCCTTGCCAAGCTAGGTCTGCTTCCATTCAAAATTGGGGATGCAAGTGTGAAATCGGACTGGGTTTATGTGGATAACCTTATATTGGCTCTATTATTGGCTAGTATGGGACTTTTGGATGACATTCCTGGGAAAGAAGGGCGGCCAGTGGCTGCTGGACAACCATACTTCATATCGGATGGTATATTGGAAATTCACTTTCTATTGTTTTTAGACCTAGTACAATTTAAGTCCTTGAATTTTTTTTATCTTTTTTGGGGGGGAGGGGGGGTCTCCCCAATAATTATCAGTTTAACATCTAATTGTGCCTTGAGCAAGTCTGTCATTTNCTTTTTGGGGGGGGAGGGGGGGTCTCCCCAATAATTATCAGTTTAACATCTAATTGTGCCTTGAGCAAGTCTGTCATTTGACTGCATAATTGTCTTCCTTTTACAGGGTCTCCGATCAACAATTTTGAATTTATCCGCCCGCTTCTCAGAAGCCTGGGATATGACCTGCCAAAGGCGTCACTTGCTGTCCCTCATGCCCTTCTTCTGGGAAATTTTTTCTGGGCTTTCTATACTATCATGTATCCTTGGTTGAGCCAACGATGGCTTCCTCAGCCACTGATACTTCCTGCTGAAGTATACAAGGTTAGTTATGAAACTACCTACTTATATATAAGTATTATTACAGACTTAAAATGGGCTTGTCATTGCTTACCAAGACACATCCGGTAATCAAGAAGTAGATTTGATGGTGAACATTTGACACGTTGTTTGGAGCTATTCAGAACAAAGACATGAAAACTTCTGAATCTCATAAATACGAAGCCATATATATCGACGTCAGTCACTTTATTTATTTATTTTTTATTATTATTATTATTTTTTTTTTGGGGTGGGGGGAGGGGTGCTGTGGAGGAGGGTGGTTTTGGTGTTTCCATGCCCGAGACAGGGAGATATAGCACAAAATCACACTTCCTGCTTGAACTTGAAAGACAATTATTTATTCTGGATCTGCTGCCTTGATTTGACAGTTTGATAAATCGTTGATGCTTTGATTTACACCTTACGTATATTACCGTGACTAAGAATTTGTTTTGCAACCGCGTGACATGAGACCATGTGTTCAGTCAGCAAAGCTAGCTATTGTGGGGCTGTGCTTTTAGAATCCATGACATAGGCTTTTATTCCATAAAATAGAGTATAGGAATTGTAGTTGTCCTTGAATTGTACTTTCGGATGATGTATCGCAAAAGCTAGATGTTGCATACAGTGGTGTATTGCATAACTTGTCGATATCTTGACAGGTTGGTGTTACCCATTACTTCTCTTTTGTAAAAGCAAATCAGGAGCTTGGCTACATCCCAATGGTGAGCCCTCGAGAGGGCATGGCTGCAACTATCTCATACTGGCAGGAGAGGAAAAGGAGAACTTTGGATGGGCCTACGATATATGCCTGGATATTTTGTGTGATGGGAATGGCTTCGCTATTCTCTGCTGCATACTTGCCTGATTTTGGACCAGTGTCACCATTGAGAGCCATTGGGCTTTTTTTCTTCCGCTCCATCTGGGGTTTAAGGGTGGTTTTCCTTTTATCTACTGCAGCACATCTTGGTGAGGCTATATATGCATGGCAACTTGCAAGGAGAGTGGATCCGGTAAATGCAAGGGGCTGGTTCTGGCAGACTTTTGCACTCGGGATGTTTTCATTGCGCTTTCTGTTGAAGAGGGGCAGGAAATAAGCTTTATTCAATGTATTTTGCAGTATGGCAACTCTAATAGCACTTTCGAGAAGAACAAAAGTGGGATGAATGATAGACGAGATGGATGTTTAATTTTAGAAATGTGGCTATTTGCAAGCAGCCAGACTGACATGTCACACAGAGCACAAATGCCTTCCAGGCTAGCCCAAAGACATTTACAGGAGCTTAATTGCCAGTTCCCCATGCCTTCAGGCAGGCTCAAGACGGCCAAGCTTGTTCTGCTCTAATTAACAGCCGGAAGATTTCATGGAATCACAGCTGAAAACCACAATGATATAATTAATTCTTTTTTCTCGGATAAAATAAAACCAAATCAAAAAACATCATTGGGAGTTACAAGATCATCATACCACATTCCACACTCAGATTACTTTATTCGTCACAACCGCAGTAGTTGAAAAAAGCTGACGGGACAAAGAATACTACAACAGCCAAACACATACGAAATCACGACCTCGTTCTCTAAATTCCTAACACCACAAAGCTAAACTGAAAAAAAACAGAGAGCATCAAGCATCTATCATGACTTGGTAGGTGCTCTCCGGGAATACTAATGTCAAACTAGAAAGTCACCTATGGTTCTTATTCTGCACAAATAAAGTTACAGGCATAAAATACAATTACTCTGCTCAAAGGCTCCAAAGAATCCGCAAATTAGTTCATGCCTCCGCAAATTAGCGAGTAACCGAGACTGAAAAAAGATCACTTCCAAGGCATGCCTGACATGCCTTGGAGATTAGTGCCATTGTAGACACCTGCGCTCTGGTTAAGTGGACTGCCGGGCCCTCCAGATGACTCACTAAGAGTCCCATGTGATGGCGGGCTGCTAGCACCCGTTGCACCACTGCCTGGGTTGAGGATTGGGGGAGCAGATAAAGGTTCCATTTGGTTTACATGCTTGGATTCCTTGCGGCCATCTGCAATGAAACTGCCAACAATGACCTGCAACAGGAAAAAAAATCCTCTAGTGCTGGGGTCGTGGACAGACACATAAACAAGATGAATTGCTGACAACGGCAAACAGCACCAAAGAAACAAATATAAAAAGCAAAAATAAATCTGTTGGCCTGTCCTGCACATATATAGGCCCAAAACTGATTGCCCCTCACTGGTTTGCTAACAGGTAGGGGTTGCTATGGTTATGTCAAGGTAAAATCATCCAAAACTGGTTGCCCCTTGGGGCGTGAGTCGAGCTTTNTTCCAAGGCATGCCTGACATGCCTTGGAGATTAGTGCCATTGTAGACACCTGCGCTCTGGTTAAGTGGACTGCCGGGCCCTCCAGATGACTCACTAAGAGTCCCATGTGATGGCGGGCTGCTAGCACCCGTTGCACCACTGCCTGGGTTGAGGATTGGGGGAGCAGATAAAGGTTCCATTTGGTTTACATGCTTGGATTCCTTGCGGCCATCTGCAATGAAACTGCCAACAATGACCTGCAACAGGAAAAAAAAATCCTCTAGTGCTGGGGTCGTGGACAGACACATAAACAAGATGAATTGCTGACAACGGCAAACAGCTCCAAAGAAACAAATATAAAAAGCAAACATAAATCTGTTGGCCTGTCTTGCACATATATAGGCCCAAAACTGATTGCCCCTCACTGGTTTGCTAACGGGTAGGGGTTGCTATGGTTATGTCAAGGTAAAATCATCCAAAACTGGTTGCCCCTTGGGGCGTGAGTCGAGCTATGTGTAACCATCAAGGGTCAGGCCAATTGCAGAATTAGATACAACAGAAAACAGGGGAAACTAAAAAAAGACAACATGCAGATAAGCTGGAAATATCCAGCCATAACATATATGACGAGCTCCATTGAATCCAATCTTCACTTCTCATTCAATCCAGATCAAAGATCATGCCAATGACATTTTTTTAACTTGCTCTTGACCTAGGTTATTCATATAGTCGCTGATAATATTGCGGGCCAGTGAGTAAAGGTCGTCTCTAATTTTTGTTGTCAAGGCTTCTATGAAATATCACATTCTTAAATTGAGTAGGATTACAAAAGCCATTCAACTAAGTGAACAGCTAGACCCAAATTTATTATGACTCGCTGTGATGACCTTTGAAAATTCAATCACAAGAATATTAAAAACCAAGAAGACCATCACTCTTTACAACTCATTGTTTTGTCAGCAAAATGCATTTTACCCCCTCACACTATCAGCAATTCACAACACTTCATCTCTTTGGGGTTTCAAAACCAACATTTCACCCCATCTTATGATTATGCACTAACATGCCAAAGTTAGAATTTCCACCAATTAATTGTCAAAGAACATAAGTCAAAAAATTTAATAAAATAGCACATCAAAATGACTTTTATACCCTTATGTACATTACTTTTCTTCTCTTCTTTTGCTCTAAAATAAACCAGTCTATTTTTTTCACCTAAAATAAACCACAAAGAGGTGAATTTTTTATCCTTGTTTTATTCATCCACACAAACCCAAAAAATGAATGTCTGGTGAAGTAAAGGTATGCTCTGAGATACCATTTCTATCAAGAAAAAAAAGAGGTACATCACATCTGTTACTCAGTTTCAAACAGGAAAAGTGTAAATGGTTGCTGTCTGATAAAAAATCTTCCTTAGGGAACAAAGGAGAAGATGATTTCCTAAGCTCATGTAATATGCTAGGAAGGAAGCTTCACAAAACAGCAGACAAACCTGAACGGGGGATGCAGCAGTCAGAAGACCTGCCACACAACCACCTAGAACACGCCCATCTGGTCCAGCTAACGAGACACTCAACCCACCTGTTCTGCTCCGCTGGCCACCAACCTCTGATAGCAGAAACGAACCAGAAAGAGACAATATATCAAACCGCCCCTGCATAAGAAAGATGATTTATCAAAAATAGACCATTTAATTAGTAAGAACATTTTTCATTCCAAAAGATTCCTATCGAATGGTGGCAATTCTCCATCTGAAAAGATCACAATAATAATACTCCAACAGCAAATAGATTATGAGAGGTCATGGTAGCTCGGGATAAATATAGGGTTGAAGAGTACAAAATATTTGAGCACTTAGAAGTATTGCAAAAAATGAGTTAAACATCAGCAGAGGTACGTACAGACCAAAGAAGAAAATAAATAGGGTCTTCCCACTTGTTCTTGAATTAGTTTATTTCCACCAAATTCCAACTCCTCAAATATGGATTGTTTTGAACAGAAAAAGAGCAACAGATCAATAGCTTGACCACTGGGTACTGGTACATCAAAAATTTGTACATCTAATTATCTTTTCTATCTGTACATGCACTAGTAGTTAGAACTTGTAAAGCTGTCATTGAGAATCCACTTATTTTAATTACAAGACCTTCAAGTTTAATGTAACAGCAGTAGAGAAATGATTAAGAATGAAACAAATCTCATTAAGTTTCCACTCGAAAAAACTAACCTCATAAGTTGCAGTTCCACCAGATGTATTAGCTTGACGTAGAGTCACATTGGAGATGGCACCATTTGCAGACAAGATGCACACAGCCCTTGGGCCATGCTGAGAAAAGGACATTATTTGTGATGACACATCCTGCAAACCCATTTAATCAGAAAATTAGTAAGATGTTCCTCTGTCATCTCAAACCCTCTCATAAGAAGATAATTGTCCGCGGGAATAAATGATCAAATTTATAATAAAAACATAGAATCTGTAAGCAATAAAAGCAAGAACCACAAATGCTAGATTAGAGTATGTTAGGATAAGTGGAAGAGTAGCTTTACTTCTTGTTACGTCAAGAAATCTAACCAGAAATATGATGGAAAAAAGGATAAATCTCATCAATATTGAGTGCAAGCATTTTGCATGTTCACATTTTTCTTAGAAAGTAAAGAAAATATAATACAATATACCCATGGGAAGGACAAAGCCAGAAATCACAGAATTGATGAAGAGTTGAAAAGACTTATAATAGAGGGTCAAAGGGGGTCACAAAAGATATTCATACCTCAGAGGGGGACCAGCTTAATCATACTAAATAGGTTAAAACATCTCTTCATATTTTCATAATCAGGAACTTCATGAAATTCCCCCAGAGATCCTTGGCAAATATATTATTCATATTTCCAAATCAAGTTTAAGCATGACGATGGATAATCAGAGATTTTAACAAGCAAAGTATTAAAAAATAAATATTAGTGTCAAGTACTTCAATAATGTTTAGAAGCTAAAGTCATATACAATTAAGATTAAGCTTTTAATGTACTGAACTCTCTTATCATTACACATGGGCAACATATGTTAGCCATCATGCAAGTTCCTGAAAATGCTACGTCTTTTTAGATTGTCACAACTATGAAATTTCAAAGAACCATGACTTCAATTTTTACTCAAACTCAAATTTGCGTGAAAAATATGATTTGATACAAATCACTTCAATAGACAAACTCAAATTTGCCAACTTCTTTCCCTCTGAAACTCTTAATATCTTTCCCCTATTTCCACCACATTTTAACTCCTCTCTCTCAAATTAAAGTTGAGGCAATATTTCCTATAAATGAACACATACTCATTTTTTGTCTTCTTATTTCTTATATTATTCCTTCAAAGTTCCAAAAAATAAACCATCCTTGATTGCTAAAACTTAAAAAACAAAAAAAAAAAAAAATCAAATCTAGCCGTGACAAAATGATGTTCATGGTGGATGATCTTAGTTTCAAAGAAGTTATTATTTTTTTTATATTTAATAGAGATTGGAGATAGAGATAAAGTAGAGAGATACACAGAACAAGATAAAAGATAAACGTTGGATACATAAAGAAGGGTGAAATATGACCATTGGAGATTTAAGTATCGTTCCATTTGGTATGAGTTTGAATAAAGGATATGAGTTTGAATAAAGGATTGAAACTTATTTTTAGCATGTTTTTACCCAAATTTAAGTTTGAGTTGAGATTTGAGTAAAGGTTGGAGGATTTTAATAAAGGTTGAAGATACTCTAATAAACTTAAGAAACAACCCATATATCATTTTTCATATACTAGATCGTGCACACTTGCCTTGCACGTAGACTTTTTTATGGTTTTGTTTTTGAAATAATTAAATGAATACAATACCAAGTACCTACTTATAAATCTAATCTTTTGAATATTCCTATTATATAATTTGTGTAATTTATAATCAACATAACACTACATATTTGCAGAACGAATATTAATTTTTATTGTTTTATTTTCTCTTAAGTCTTGATGAATTATCTTCTTGTAAAACTCTACCTTAAAATTTTAAAACTTTTCACATGATGTTAATTATTTAGAATAATTTTATTTGCAATATCATAGTAATGGTACAAATATATTTTATAGTATGTAGGTATATATAATTAAAAAATATCACAGTTACTTACTAAATTATGAAAAATATGGAACTGAACTATTTAAAGTTATGGTGGTCATTTAATTATAAACAATTGGTTGAGAAAATTTAAGNGGATTGAAACTTATTTTTAGCATGTTTTTACCCAAATTTAAGTTTGAGTTGAGATTTGAGTAAAGGTTGGAGGATTTTAATAAAGGTTGAAGATACTCTAATAAACTTAAGAAACAACCCATATATCATTTTTCATATACTAGATCGTGCACACTTGCCTTGCACGTAGACTTTTTTATGGTTTTGTTTTTGAAATAATTAAATGAATACAATACCAAGTACCTACTTATAAATCTAATCTTTTGAATATTCCTATTATATAATTTGTGTAATTTATAATCAACATAACACTACATATTTGCAGAACGAATATTAATTTTTATTGTTTTATTTTCTCTTAAGTCTTGATGAATTATCTTCTTGTAAAACTCTACCTTAAAATTTTAAAACTTTTCACATGATGTTAATTATTTAGAATAATTTTATTTGCAACATCATAGTAATGGTACAAATATATTTTATAGTATGTAGGTATATATAATTAAAAAATATCACAGTTACTTACTAACTTATGAAAAATATGGAACTGAACTATTTAAAGTTATGGTGGTCATTTAATTATAAACAATTGGTTGAGAAAATTTAGGAAAATTAAGTTGTGATAAGTAATTTAATATGATACTGAACATATTCGTAACATCGTTAAACGATACAAATAAAATGATTTCTAGTATTGTCAATAAACATAACTAAAGAGGATTTATTAAAACTAAAACATAAAAGAGAAGAAAATGAAAAGGTAGAGTTTAAAAATCTTATCCAAATTATATTAAAATAAATCTTATACTAAATAAGACTCTAGTGCATTTATGCAATTTTGTCATTAACTAATGAAAATAGATAGACATAAATATAAGTAAATTTAATTATTTTAACAATTAATTTTTATCTTTTAAAAGAAAGAATATGAAAGTCTTGGATATCTGTAACATTAATGAAGTTTTATTAATATGAATTCCACATTAATAATATCAATATTGTGAGAGCAAAGTTGTCCAATTAAAAGTTTAACATCAATCAAGTCTCATTAATATGAGTTCTAAATTAAATAAAGCCATTGTCTTTATATATTCTTTTAGGGTTAAAGTAGTCAATCAAAAATTTTTCTTTGTATTGTACTTTTATTAGTAATATAGATTCTTCAGTGGGTAGGGTTGCAAATTACAGAAGCGCGTAAAAAATAGGGGCAATCAATGCACACATTGAACACAAAATTCAAGCAGTCAATGATGATGTAAAATGAATCCAATCTAACTGATTGTGGTTCATTAAGGAATAAGATCCATTAGACAGAATATAGGAAAATAATGATGTCAGCATCTTTTAAAAGATGGAAATTCCCCTTATGTGGATAGCACACTATCATCATCACAATTTGGGCTTATTTGACAATATTGGCACAAGTCCTTTCTCTACAAAGTACAAACTGCCACATTTCGATAGAATACCTCTGTGTAGATAAGATAGAAAACCAATGAATAAGCTATAAGTTTTACAGCCAAAGCCAACTGCAGAAAAACATAGTCTCGCAGTGATATCTTGAAAATAGAAACTCAAAGGCCATCCAACTTCCACAAGAGAAAGATGCCTATTTGACTCTTCAAAATAGATATCAACTACTAGGGAAAATCAGACCTCTTCACTAACAAATTGTGGTGTTCTTTACTACCGTCCCTTGAACAAATTTAAATATTACTTATTTACTAAAAATCTCCCTTGCACCTTTGCCCATGTACCACTTAGTATTCCCATACACTCAAAAACCTCAAATAGCCCCTAAAAATAAGGACAGTATGAATTCAGCTGAAGCCATTAAATTTCATCAATAAAATTTTAAAAATACCCAAGAGTAACTTGTAGAATTACACCTACGTGTGTGTGTGTGTATACACCGNCTCAAAAACCTCAAATAGCCCCTAAAAATAAGGACAGTATGAATTCAGCTGAAGCCGTTAAATTTCATCAATAAAATTTTAAAAATACCCAAGAGTAACTTGTAGAATTACACCTACGTGTGTGTGTGTGTGTGTATACACCGCGCACATATAGAAAGAAATAATTACTTCTCTCACAACTCAAAACCGACCACCCACTACTACTACCACCACTGATCACCCACCCAAAAACACATCCAATTAAAACTAATAGAGGAAATCTAAACAGATCCTCCGCAACTNCAAAACCGACCACCCACTACTACTACCACCACTGATCACCCACCCAAAAACACATCTAATCAAAACTAATAGAGGAAATCTAAACAGATCCTCCGCAATTAAGCAATGCTCTAAAGTATGATCATGTCTCAGTTCATGCAATCGTCAAGAAGAAAAGTAAAGAAACCACAATTATTCAATGGTGTACAGAGTTGTTTGTCAAGTTTGTGTTACAAAAATGAAGGCAGTTTCACTGATTTTGATGACCATCAAACATTTCAAAAAAATGGGACTACATAGATATTGTGTTTGGGGTGGATACCCAAAGATAAGCAAAAATCTGTTTGTTAAAACTTTGTTGAGTTTAGAGAAACAGCTCTCGGATGAGGACGTTGTTAAATAAACATCTCTCTACATATTATATATGTATATAAAATTTAGATTGTGATAATGGGCCACCGATCTCTCTCTTGATCAGTAGTTCAACAGAATTTTTGGTCAAAGAATTGCAATTGGTCAATTTTAGCACCATTTTCTAGACAACAAAATAAAAGTGGCTAGTCAAGTGATATAATGAACTATGAAGAGGTTGACCTCCAGGGTTTAATAGTCTAAGGTGATTAAGTAATATTGGGTCATAGGTGATGGAGGTTTTGTATTTAACGCTTCTAAAAATTTGTTCAGGAGTGCAATTGTTGTAGAGTATGACATTGAAGCCATATGAACATTGCCATCTACAAAATCACAATAAACCAATGTCCATTTGAACCATTCAAGGAAAATAGAAATGCCAAAAAGAAACCTCTCCAGCTTTGACGGTGATAACATGCGGTGTAAATCCAATGCCCGCTGATCCTGCAAGCAAAAACTTCGTCAGAGATATTTCAGTCAAAATGTTTTTTGACAGCTACAATGTTAAAACAGGAAAAATGCAATATGAAAAGGAAAGCTCATAAAACAGCCAAAAAAGTGTAACTTTCGCCTGTATTATAGGTTTATACTCATACCAAACCAACCACCACAGGTGTAGTTCCGGGAGCTTCGCATAGTGTCCAAGAGGCTTATTCTCTGTTCTCAATAATTGGTCGGATCCCCCAAGAGAAAGCCCTCAACCAGAATATTTAGAATTCCTTTGTTTTGAGGGCGACAGGGACACCAAACTTTTTTTAAAAAATGGACCACCCCTCAAAAAATCCAAAAAAAAGGTACGGAAGAAAAAGAGAAAAAAAATATCCTTTACTCAAAACATATGACCAAGGAGCCAGTATTAATATGAATCCAGTTAAAAAAATCTATTTATATAAGTCCCAAGTCTTTCAGGTCTCTGTTTACAAGGGAAAAAAAATGAAAATTACAACAGGGCAAAAAGTTAAGATAATCTCACTAATTTGGGCATAAACTTTTTTTCTCATCAATATCTGAAGCACATGACAATAGCAGGACTTAAAGATAACTTAAAAAAGCTAGCAGAGGCAACCAGCACAGCACAGCACAGCACATAAGGGCACATTGGTAATTTTGTATGTATGTTTCTGGAGTCAGATCAAGCAGATCCAAAGTTCCAGCACAACCATACTGCCCTTCCTTTTTCCGATTCATGCAGTTATCCAGCCATAAATATACCACAATACATCCCCTTCACGCAAATACTATAACAAAATGTAAGCTATTCATGTCCCACAGAAGAACTCAAACAAATTAACCACCTTTTAGGTTTCAACAGATAAAAAAAAAGAAGTAAGAAACTATAACTAAACCCAGACAATAAAAGCACAAGAACAGGTTTAATTCGAAACAATTGTTTGCCTAAAGAACCCAACAGCATCTACAAATATTCCATGTTCCACCATGTGACAGACAGACATATTAAAACATGACAAAGATCGCATAGAAAGATATAGAGGGAATAATAGCAAGTTACCGAGGGCTTCCAATTGTTGCTTCTTGCTTGAACCCCGTGGTCTGCCTCTGCCCTTCTTCAATGAATTCGGCGAGGCCAATCCTCCCGAAGGAGGACCAGCGGCAGCGGGAGGCCCCGGTGGGGGAGAGAAAGAGCCGCCGGATGTATTAACCGTGACGGCTGGAGGTGTGAGAGCCAGTGCCATGGTGCCATCAGCCCCGTACTTCCTGGGTCTCCCTCTCTTACGCTTAATAGAGTCGCTCGTATTCATGTTTAGGCTATGTGGCAAGATGAGGCCTCCGGCCGGAGCTTCAACAGAGGCACTGGTGGGCTGGAACGGAGGGGATGAGCCAGAGAAGGGTTTGTAGACGGCTGTTCCCTCGCCGCTGTACGCCAAACGCATGTTCTGTACCACCGGCTGAGACGGTGCTGGTGGCGAAGTCTTCTGAAAAGCGCCGACGGTGAACGGCTCTCTGCTAGTGATCACTCCTCCTGTCTCAGATCCCGACATCTTTCAGCGGGTTTCAGAAATCACCCCTCAAAACTCCTGAAAATACATAGCAAATAGATGTTATTGCGTAAGTCTTTCAGATCAGCGCTACGAACTGAAAACACGAACATTTAGAACTGTTACTCAGCTCAACTTCGTCTCCCTAGGGAGAAAAAAAAATTACACTGCATACATATTTCAAATAAAGTACCTGAAAAGATTCACCCAAACAAAACAAGAACAACAAGAAGATAGAATTCAACCAACAAAAACCCTAGCTGAGCGCTCACTTAAGACATTGCTAAACCCCAACCCTAAGGACCTAATCTTTAGAAGGAATCTTTGAGTAAATCCACTGAACTGAAAGGAAAAAACCCCGAGGACTGCGAACAATTAGTATGAAAAGCGACAGACTTCGCGTTAAACTTGCAGAAAATTTCCATATTTTCAAACAGATCGCAGGAAAAATAGCGAGTAAAGCTCAGAAAATTTACACCACTGGAACCATCAGTTCTCCGATTTTACTGTTTATAAAAATACCATACCATACCTTACCTTACAAGAAAAACAGAGGAAAACATAAGAAAATAGCCGAAAAATATAAAAAATCTTACCAAAAAATAGGAAAAATTATGGAAAGCAGCGAAGAAATAAAGGGGGTGAGAAGATGGAGGAGAAGAAATTGTTAGGGTTTGTGAATAGAAATAGAAATAGAAAAGGGCTCTTGAGAAGCTTTTTCTTTGAGAAATTGTATGTAAATTAAATACTAGATATCTGTGTTTTTTTAAATTACGGGTTTTTCATTTAATATAAATAGAAAGAAAAGAAAAGAAAAGGTAGGCCGAAATTGCTTTCATTTAAGTTTATTTTATCTTTGAATTAATTAACTGGAACGCAACGCAACGCAACGCAACGTCTTCATTTTTATTTGTTTGGTTTACTCTCGAACGAATACAAAAATCAAAATACTCGCTCCGTCGGGTGAACACGTGGCGAAGATGTAACAGGTGTCCACTCTGCTATTGCGAGTGTATTGCTAGTTTTGTACTTTCAATGTGAAAAGATAAAGGTGTTCTGTTTTTTTTTTCATTTAGAGTCAATCAATAATCATCAGTGTTAGCCGTTCGGTTGGATTGGCACTTGGCCTCATTCGGAAACCAACCCTCGGTTCAACTTTATCATTAAGGTTGAGAATTTTTGGACTAAAATTATACTACTCACTCTCTTTACTCAGCTCTGGTAATTTATTATAATTTTTAGATTGCATGAAATCTTTTTTTATTTTTTGGTTTAGAATATTACTAATTACAAAAAATAATAGAAAAAGAAAAGGGGAAAATAAAATAGAAGGGAGTATCCAGTAATCTATGGATCCCTGACCCCGAGTACTCGACAGTTAAAATAGTTGTAGATAGGTGGTATCTGAAAAGAGCATTAGCCTATGGCNTCAAAATACTCGCTCCGTCGGGTGAACACGTGGCGAAGATGTAACAGGTGTCCACTCTGCTATTGCGAGTGTATTGCTAGTTTTGTACTTTCAATGTGAAAAGATAAAGGTGTTCTGTTTTTTTTTTCATTTAGAGTCAATCAATAATCATCAGTGTTAGCCGTTCGGTTGGATTGGCACTTGGCCTCATTCGGAAACCAACCCTCCTCGGTTCAACTTTATCATTAAGGTTGAGAATTTTTGGACTAAAATTATACTACTCACTCTCTTTACTCAGCTCTGGTAATTTATTATAATTTTTAGATTGCATGAAATCTTTTTTTATTTTTTGGTTTAGAATATTACTAATTACAAAAAATAATAGAAAAAGAAAAGGGGAAAATAAAATAGAAGGGAGTATCCAGTAATCTATGGATCCCTGACCCGGAGTACTCGACAGTTAAAATAGTTGTAGATAGGTGGTATCTGAAAAGAGCATTGGCCNACACTGCATACATATTTCAAATAAAGTACCTGAAAAGATTCACCCAAACAAAACAAGAAGAAGAAGAAGATAGAATTCAACCAACAAAAACCCTAGCTGAGCGCTCACTTAAGACATTGCTAAACCCCAACCCTAAGGACCTAATCTTTAGAAGGAATCTTTGAGTAAATCCACTGAACTGAAAGGAAAAAACCCCGATGACTGCGAACAATTAGTATGAAAAGCGACAGACTTCGCGTTAAACTTGCAGAAAATTTCCATATTTTCAAACAGATCGCAGGAAAAATAGCGAGTAAAGCTCAGAAAATTTACACCACTGGAACCATCAGTTCTCCGATTTTACTGTTTATAAAAATACCATACCATACCTTACCTTACAAGAAAAACAGAGGAAAACATAAGAAAATAGCCGAAAAATATAAAAAATCTTACCAAAAAATAGGAAAAATTATGGAAAGCAGCGAAGAAATGAAGGGGGTGAGAAGATGGAGGAGAAGAAATTGTTAGGGTTTGCGAATAGAAATAGAAATAGAAAAGGGCTCTTGAGAAGCTTTTTCTTTGAGAAATTGTATGTAAATTAAATACTAGATATCTGTGTTTTTTTAAATTACGGGTTTTTCATTTAATATAAATAGAAAGAAAAGAAAAGAAAAGGTAGGCCGAAATTGCTTTCATTTAAGTTTATTTTATCTTTGAATTAATTAACTGGAACGCAACGCAACGCAACGCAACGTCTTCATTTTTATTTGTTTGGTTTACTCTCGAACGAATACAAAAATCAAAATACTCGCTCCGTCGGGTGAACACGTGGCGAAGATGTAACAGGTGTCCACTCTGCTATTGCGAGTGTATTGCTAGTTTTGTACTTTCAATGTGAAAAGATAAAGGTGTTCTGTTTTTTTTTTCATTTAGAGTCAATCAATAATCATCAGTGTTAGCCGTTCGGTTGGATTGGCACTTGGCCTCATTCGGAAACCAACCCTCGGTTCAACTTTATCATTAAGGTTGAGAATTTTTGGACTAAAATTATACTACTCACTCTCTTTACTCAGCTCTGGTAATTTATTATAATTTTTAGATTGCATGAAATCTTTTTTTATTTTTTGGTTTAGAATATTACTAATTACAAAAAATAATAGAAAAAGAAAAGGGGAAAATAAAATAGAAGGGAGTATCCAGTAATCTATGGATCCCTGACCCCGAGTACTCGACAGTTAAAATAGTTGTAGATAGGTGGTATCTGAAAAGAGCATTAGCCTATGGCTATGGCTATGGCTGCGCCTGTTTCGTCTTTGTCTTCGCAGTTCTACTGTCGCTCTGTGCTTCTTCCTCATGTCTCCGACTTGTTCACTGCTCAATCCCGCTCTCATTTTCATCAAAGAGGTCATCACTTTCTCTAAACCCCACCCCTTTTCTTACCCCAGCCCCCAATATTAGCTATTCAATATGCATATTCTTTCTTCTTTAATTTGATTTGATATAGTTCAAAATAAGTAATTATTCACCTTCGCCGTTTCTTCAGGCTTCAACAAAAACAGGAACCTCAATGTTTTCTGCTGCCAGAACAACGCAATAGCTCAAAATCCATGGTAATCTCGTTTCAATTTCCATCTCCTTCCTCTTCTATAATTTCTTATCTTTGCCCGTCCTTTATAATGAATTACTCTTCTTCCCACTAGAATCAATTGTTTTCCTTGGTTTCTTTTATTACTTAACAGTCTAAGCACTGAAGATCATTCTCAAACTAGAAGGAGAGAGATCTTGTTCCACACGGTCTTCACTGCCATTTCTCTCCATGCCAATTTTTCAGTTGCATCACCTGAGAACGGTAACCACTCCTATGTCTACCCCTTGTTCCGGACATTTTCAGAATTGTTTCTTCTTCTTCTTATTATTATTATTGTTTAGACAAAATCCTAATTCATCCATTTTTCCCATTCCCAACACACGAGTTTCCAGATTTGCAGGAGGATTTCCGCATGTACTCTGATGATGTAAACAAGTTCAAGATAATGATTCCTCGAGGTGATCCAGCATCAATCCTCCTTAAAGCTGAAATAATTTTCTCATCTTCTCATCATCCAAAGAAAGATCATCGTTTGTACTAGTATGCTATTAATATTACTTCCTCGCTTGTTTCATATCTATTGTCCTACTCCGAATGTGGCTACACCATGAGCAATCAAAATAGATGGGCTAAACGTGGGGAACTGGTTAATCTACTGAACTGGTGGACTTCCATTGCATTTTCTCTTTTTTGGCATTAGGAGGCTCTTACTGATTTGTTAAGTAGCACGTGAGCATGGCAATGTGTTTGATTGTTGGATTGGATTTATGATACAGTTATGTCAATATGGTTCCATTCTGATGCTTATGATGTGTATCTTTTAGCAAAGGGCACCTAGAATAGATGGCAAATGCAAGAACCCAACTTCTCTCGACTGAGATGATAACATTANCCCCGAGGACTGCGAACAATTAGTATGAAAAGCGACAGACTTCGCGTTAAACTTGCAGAAAATTTCCATATTTTCAAACAGATCGCAGGAAAAATAGCGAGTAAAGCTCAGAAAATTTACACCACTGGAACCATCAGTTCTCCGATTTTACTGTTTATAAAAATACCATACCATACCTTACNAACAGATCGCAGGAAAAATAGCGAGTAAAGCTCAGAAAATTTACACCACTGGAACCTTCAGTTCTCCGATTTTACTGTTTATAAAAATACCATACCATACCATACCATACCTTCCNAAACAATGAGTATTTGTTTTTGCAGATTGGCAAGTAGGGGCAGGAGACGGCAATGGAATTAAGTCAGTAACTGCGTTTTACCCTGAAGAAACATCAAATTCAAATGGTATTAATGGGCATTCTGTCCTCAGACTCTGATCAAAAAAAAAATGGGTTTTCTGCTGGATCCATCCCTGCATGTTTGTTTCATGAATATTAAACTTGCTCCTTGGGTTGCTTCAGTCAGCATAATAATCACGGGGCTTGGTGCCGATTTTACCAGACTGGAATCTTTTGGCAAAGTTGATTCTTTTGCGGAGACTCTGGTAGTACTTCATTTATCTAACAAATTTCTACGGACTTTAACAAGCAAATTCAGAGGGAGAGAGAGAGACAGACAGAGAGATCATAGTTTTTCAGTGAGAAGTTTAATCTGCTTATCATCTTATNCAACGCAACGCAACGCAACGTCTTCATTTTTATTTGTTTGGTTTACTCTCGAACGAATACAAAAATCAAAATACTCGCTCCGTCGGGTGAACACGTGGCGAAGATGTAACAGGTGTCCACTCTGCTATTGCGAGTGTATTGCTAGTTTTGTACTTTCAATGTGAAAAGATAAAGGTGTTGTGTTTTTTTTTTCATTTAGAGTCAATCAATAATCATCAGTGTTAGCCGTTCGGTTGGATTGGCACTTGGCCTCATTCGGAAACCAACCCTCCTCGGTTCAACTTTATCATTAAGGTTGAGAATTTTTGGACTAAAATTATACTACTCACTCTCTTTACTCAGCTCTGGTAATTTATTATAATTTNAAAAAAAAAATGGGTTTTCTGCTGGATCCATCCCTGCATGTTTGTTTCATGAATATTAAACTTGCTCCTTGGGTTGCTTCAGTCAGCATAATAATAACGGGGCTTGGTGCGGATTTTACCAGACTGGAATCTTTTGGCAAAGTTGATTCTTTTGCGGAGACTCTGGTAGTACTTCATTTATCTAACAAATTTCTACGGACTTTAACAAGCAAATTCAGAGGGAGAGAGAGAGAGAGACAGAGAGATCATAGTTTTTCAGTGAGAAGTTTAATCTGCTTATCATCTTATTCTGTGTTTTTGTGATTGCCTTTAACAGGTTAGTGGATTGGACAGAAGCTGGAGGAGGCCCCCAGGTGTGGCAGCAAAACTCATAGACTCTAAAGCAACTAATGGTAATTGTGTCTTCTTTTGTGGCTATTCCACTGTGACAACAAATATATAACAACCCTTGGATTTGCTGACCTGTGTGACATAATTACAACTATAGAGATTGCAACTATATTATTGATAGATGATCAAACCAAGCAGATCCGTTGGCTTTGTGTATATAGTTTCTTGGTGTTTGGGAAAATAGAGAATAAGTGTTAGGTGAATGGCTAAGATCAGCCATTCCTCAGGTTTGATTGACTTGTAATCTGCACCCATATACTTTTGGTATGAATTGATTACGAGCTTGAAGAACATTAGATCTAAGAGTGAAGAACTTTAGATCTAAGAGTAAAGAACAAACGTAGTTCATACCTATAGACACATGTATACATTCGTGTATTTNTTGATTACGAGCTTGAAGAACATTAGATCTAAGAGTGAAGAACTTTAGATCTAAGAATAAAGAACAAACGTAGTTCATACCTATAGACACATGTATACATTCGTGTATTTATAGTGATGTTACTTTCAACAATTGGCCAGGGTTGTATTACGTTGAGTACACGCTGCAGAATCCTGGTGAAAGCCGAAGGTTCTTATTTTCAGTGCTTGGGATAGCAAACAACGGTTGGTACAACAGATTATATACAGTGACCGGACAGGTTGGTTTAGCTAAAACAAATCCGTCGTCTTTATTTTTCAAGTGCTAGTGTCTTTGCTGTATCAGTTTTGCATCTATACACAGCCTAAATATCATCATTGCAAACTTATATATGCTGCAGTTTGTTGAAGAGGAGGCAGAGAAATATGGTTCGAAAATTGAGAAGGTGACAAACTAAATACTGTTTCAGTTTGCAGGAATGTCTGGACACAAAAATTGGTAGTCTTCCTATTTGAATTTTGGATATACAACAACATGGACATGTTGGGGTTCCAACTGCTTTTACCTGATAGTTCACAACATCGCTTTTAAGTTTAAGGGGGTTAAGGAAGACAAACAGAAGTTTTTTTATTGTGTAACAGCAGCCCATCTAATAGCAACATTTGATGCTAGAATATAGATGGAAATTTTGTAAAATATCTTTTTGAACTGAATAAAAAGTTATGCTCGATTTCCAGACCATCTATCTGTGTATTTCTGCATGACAAATTCTTATCTGATAAAGCTTTGGATAATTTTGCTCTAGACTCGAGAATATCTTCTATGGACTCAAGAATATCTTCTATGGACTTTCACTTCCAGTTCCTTTGTGTGAAACTTATGATATCTGACCGCCTTGCTAGGACTGAGTTTGATTGGCAACAGCTGGCTTATTCTGTGACTGATTTTCCATATGACTCCCATAAATGTTTCTTAATATCCCACACAATTTTCTCTAAGAAGCACTTGTAGTTTTTCAATTGTGGGATTCTTTGGTATTGCTGCAATGTTGTTCCTGAGTTGCAAGAGTTGAGATTCTGGATTGGAGTGTCCTTAGAAAGATGGTCTCTCAGAGTGGCTTTCCTTGTTTACCTGAATTAAAAGGAGTGGCTTTCCTCTTTTGGGCAATAGATATTTGTGGTCAAGTGAGCATTTTGTGTGTTATTTCCAGTGCAAGTAGATCATTCATGTTTCTTTGTGAAACGTAGGTTAGTCTTTATGGAACTGGTTCAATTATGGAATCACTTAATGTATTTTGCCCTTTTCTTGGTCCTCGCAGGTAGTTGCTTCCTTCAGATTGTTGTGATAATACCGTTACAAGAAGTGGCATATAATGAATAGGCAATTCCAAAATCCAGTCAAGTAAGCAACCTTTTGATGACAATTATCTTTCTAGTGCCTGTACACGGAAACTCTTTTTGCATCCAAGCCTAGTCGTTAGACTCTTTTTACAGGGTGAGCATTGGAAGTACCTGCAGTTAGACAAGCAGTACAAATTCCCTTAAAAGGATCCTGTTCTCTTGACAACCCTTCTTAGGGATTAAATTTGCCTTCTCTTTTGTTTTTTATTTTTTGGGTCGAGGGGGGCTGGAATCAAACTGGGTTGTTGGGGGAGAAATGTCAAGTTCATGCAGGCTTTTATTTGTTTAGCCCCAATTCACTTTTGCAACTTCTTTTCGATATGATCACGTGTGGATTCCAGAAGCAATTTTGATATTCATGTCACAAACTTCTGTCTCTTCTTTATGCTTGCTGCTACATTTTTCAGGTGAGGAAAATGATGCAGATGAAAAATTGTAAACCATGTTGTTGGATTTTACCAGCTCTGGAAGAGGCAGACGCTGAACTAGATATTGATGGAGTGATCATTTATGTTACCATTGTCTTTTAGAACTACTACTTTTTTTCTCAAATTTTCCTTGGAAATGCATTACATGATATTGAACTAACAACCTCTCGTTTCTTTTATTCTCAAAAAAAAAAAAAACCTCTCGTTTCTTTAGCTAAATTGCACTTATACATGATGAGAGATTTGTGTAGTGGAAGTGGTTGAAGTACAAAATCACCCACTTATTCATGACGACTGCCTAGCATGTAGAATGTTTTTTCCTTTTAGAAAATGAAAAGGCCACTCGGGCAGCTCATTTGGAAAAGCAATTATTTCACATAAACATTATTTGTATACATTGTTTTTCAGGAATTTTGAAAACCACGAGACATAGCTGAGAGCTAGAAGATGAGTTCACCAAATCCTCCTCTTCTCATGAACTGAGATTAGGCAATCTATTGATTTTGTGCTGCACCTCATTTTCAAAAAAGTTTCTTTCCAAGGCCAATTGCAAAACGTGATCCTCATANGTTCACCAAATCCTCCTCTTCTCATGAACTGAGATTAGGCAATCTATTGATTTTGTACTGCACCTCATTTTCAAAAAAGTTTCTTTCCAAGGCCAATTGCAAAACGTGATCCTCATACATTTCTTCTCGGTCGGGAAACATCTCGAAGCCAAACAATTGGTATTCATTCTTTTTCTTTTCTCAGAGCCAGTAGTAGTTCTTAATTTAACCTAAGAAAGTCTATCCTTACTATTATTTTTTATTTTTTTTTATCATTTTTTCCCCAGACTGACTGCTGAAATCAAAAATATAAATAACAGCCCAACGACAATTGTAGAAAGGCTACAATGGTTAGCATTTTCGTGACCAAATATCCCCCTCCCCTCATTCACAAAGGAGACAAATTAGCTTATATCTAAATACACATGGAAAAGTCTGTGCATGTACTCCTTCGGATGACTATTTCTTTTACTTGCCCAGTAACTGGAGAAAAGAAAAAGGAAGCAGTTCTTTACTTCTTTTAACTATGCCCCCACTCCCCCGCGATACCAATTTCCTAGAAATGGCGAATATCATTACAAAGTGTGGCAGATCTCTGTGCATCTTACAATAAAATTTCCACCAATAAACAGGTACTTACTTCCTAAAACAGAGGTTATCCCAGTGGATCTGACAGGAAACTATAGGCTCCAAAGTGAATCCTGAAAGGAAAATATAACAAATTATAAATTTTCATTCGGATTTAATAATCTCCACAGTGCTTTCTCCAGTTTTTCGTGCAGCAGTTTTATGAAAGAGTAGTGTGAGCTGATCAACAAAAAGCAGATTCTTCATCTGCTGCAGATGTTGCCACTCTTTCTCCATTTGTAATTCAAGCTCCTCAAAATGAACAATCTTGTCCTGAATCTCCTTGGTCTGCAAAATACATTGAACAACAAAACCATCCAAATCAACATCACAGAGAAGCTCCTACTATTAGAATTGCAGACCATGAAAACTGGAGCCTTGCATACCTGCACTTCAACAATACCAGCAATTGCTCTCTCTACGTCCTGTTCTTCCTTTTCAAGCTGCAGCCGCACCTCCACATGCGCCACTTCTAGTGTTTCTCTACTGGAGGCGCCATTGGGTTTTACATCAGATTCTGCATAAAAAAGGAAGCCATTATATTACTGCAAGCTCATGGCAGTCAAATTGACAAAAATACATGCGTACAACAACATTAGTCTTGGGTAGCATGCTTTCTTCACAAGGGCCATGTATTTAATTATTTTTGGTTTTCGATCTTTCTGTTATTTTTTCTGCAATATATTGAGGACCAAGACACCAGGTAAAAAAAGCTACAACTCCATCTCAATGCCATTTTTTAAAAATTTGAGTTTTGTGTGCATGCACAAATGAAAAGAATAGATTAATAGAACTCAGACCAGACTCCTAATCACAAAAAAACCAAATTTTCAAAGGGTCAAATGGGTTGATGTGGAATTTGGGCATTGAAATCCAACATAACCATACCCTGAGTTATCGGGCAAGAAAACTTGTTTTCACACCTGCTTGCTAGTAAGCAAAGTCTCTTTGAAGCTCGTTAAGAGCAAGAAAAGGCTTGCCTCAGAGTTTCAATTCGATTTCACTAACCAGCAAGACATTCTATTATTTCATGCTTATATGTCGTATAATTTTGAGTCGTTGCTAGGCAATGGATGGATTTTTGCCAATCATAGCACATCATTGTGCTGAGAAGGTCTACCATATCTGTGCATTGCACCCTACTGTCCAGAATGTTGTAATCATTTTGCCTGAAGAGAATTATTGGCTCTTTAGTTGGGTGACAACTGTGTCACAGAACCATAACCTGGTGCACCGTAGTTGGTGATGAGATAAGCAGTCAAAAGACTCAACAAAGAAGTGGATATCCAAGAGTCCAAAAGAAAATATTTAAAATCTACAAGCTACTTATATGCTTGCAGTTCATCAACCACCAGTATCTAGGTTAGAGAAAACCATTCAACACCATAAAGTACTAAAACAGATGTGATATTATGCCCTATAAGAGTAAGAATGAATTTTTAAGCAATTTTACACCGATGGGATCCCAATGTCCAACTCATGAGTGTGAACGTGAGATAATACCTTTTAAAAATTAACAAAAACTAACACCAGGTCTAGAAATTTGCAGAGCCACAAGAGGATCCTAATGCCAACAAGAATCTTAACAAGAAGTATCTCATACCTTGCTGTCTTGCACCAGCAGTGAGAGATCTAATAGTATCTTTTGTCATCCGGTCACTGACTTCAGACAAAGTCCACACAGCAGCATGAGCCGCTGCTTCTGCAACCTCTACACCCGCCAAAGCCGAGAGGAAAGCAGACTGCAAATTTTGAAATGACCTCAATAGGAATACACCACAACAGCAATATTTAAATTGAATACAGAAGGAGACATACCCAAACAACATTTCAAATTTGGTTAGTTGATTGGAAAAATCAATCTAACACTATTTAGAAAAATACAAAAAGGGTATCTTTTCATTCTGATGAAGTATATAATTCATTCAATCATTTTAGATCCATTATAAAATTAGGCAGAGCCAAATTTTACAACATCCTGTACCCATGAGAATAAGTTATTAAGCAAACTCAGAGGCTCATATAGGTTTCCTGCAATTATTCAGAACCTATATAAGCTCAACTGCTAACATTCGCATTGCTGAGGAGTGGATGGCCGATTGGCCCTCTAGACCTTAGAGCTAACTTTTTTCGTTATAACTGGTGTTTGCTTCAAATTACTTGTTTAATAAATATGGTGACAAGTGAAAAGCAGGACTTTTGGGTCAACATAATGGTCAACTGGGCTGTCAAACTTGCTCATGGTGAACTCAGGTACCAACAGAATTTCACCATGTTTTAATTGCCACTGATCTGAAACCCTTTTCTTACATAATTTTCAGGATTGCCCAAAAATGTGTTTACCTGAGCCATAATCGGGTTGCTGGCATCAGCAAGTGGTGTGAGACACATCCTTTTGGTTGGAGACCCAAATTCACTGTCATTCTGGTCATTTGATTGATAAAACTTAAAATCAACCTCAGCAGAATCTGGAGGGCCAACAAATTGCTCCCTGAATGGAAGCTTTATAAAGCGAGCAACACACTCTCTCTCACTTCTACCACCAACATGCTCTGCAACCTTCTTCCAATCATCACCATAATGCATAATGGCTTCTAGAAGGTGCAAAGTTTCTTTATCAGTCCAATCTGTCTTTACCTCTTCACTTATCTCAACCCGTCTGAAATCAGTGGAACTGACACCAACACGATAGTTACCACGGACATAGCACCTCGCACAAAGGGTCAAATCAAACTGTCCAAAAGTAAAGCAATTATCAAGATCAATTGTGACCAGCATCATAGAATATATATAGCAATATATGAACTGTCTGTTACAATAAGTAGGGTGGATGAAGTATTAACACGATAATTTGTTTAGTGTGGAACGCAAAGCATATACATGTGTTTGCCTTGGAAGTCATCAAAAGTTTTGACAAGGAGCAGGCAAAATAAATGTTAATTATGGTATACTTATACAGAAGACGAATAATGAAAGACTGATTATACCTTATCACAAGTAAAGCAAGCAATGCTACAAGCAGATTTGCATCCATTACACAATCTTTTCTTGGGTGCCGCAACATCAGCAGCCGAAGTGCCCCCTGGATCACCACTTTGTGAAGACGCCGCGGCATTGGACTTGCTGCTCTCCTTGTCTTCCCACTTCAACTGCGGCTTGGAGCCCGAACCCGAGTAATTAATCAGACCCCAGACCTCCAAGAAATCGAACACCCTCCGAATCGAGCCTACGTCTCCAATGATAGTCTTCCGAGCCTCGGTGAAGGTGATCTTTCGCGTAGGATTTTGTCGAAACCTTCGAATTATAGTGTTCCTGAAGTACTTGTAAACCCTAGGGGTCTTTGAAGGCCATCTACCGTCGAAAAACTCGGGGAGAAATCGGACCTCACATTCGTGAATATTGTTCCACGAAAACCACCCTAAAAACAGTTAAAAGCTCAACAATGAATACTAGCAACACACAAAAATCGTTAGAAATCAGTGGAAAAATTTTAATCGGAGAATTAGGGTTGGGGTTTTAAGAGGTGGAAGAAAAAGGCAGTTAAAATAGGAGAGGGTTGATGCGCTTACGGGAATAGCTGGGGATGTGAATGACGTCAGAGTCGGTGGAGGATTGCTCCTGTGGGCGGGAAGTGACGGTGGTGGCTTTGGAAACAGTAGAAGCTGGAATGTCGGACGTGAGGGTGGTGGGAGCTGGGGAAGGGTGTAGCTGCTGCTGCAGCGGTTCTTGCGGTGGTGGGGGAGTGGGAGTCGGAGTGGGAGTGGTCGTTTCTGCGGAAGATGAGGATAGGGAGCGAGAGGGGGAGGAAGACGGTCTGGGTCTGGGTCTTGGGGGCTCTTGTTGGACTGGGGACTTCTCGTTGCCGTTACTACCCATTTGTTTCAGCCACAGAGAGAGAGAAAGAGAGAGAGATGAGGGTTTTCAAGTCGAACGGATATCAAAGTACTTTCTTTTTCTTTTTTTTTATTAATATGAATTGGACTTTCAAAGCCAACAGGCCACCTGACCTGCCATTCTCAGGCCAGGCCTGCTCCTGAAGGAACGACTTAGCATCCAAGTTCAATGGGCCCACAACAACAATCGTAAATAGTAGCGTAGGTCAGGGGGTGTTCATGTGACGAATTATCCACGGATCTCATTATTATGCCTAAAAAATAGATCCGAAATTTGATAGACCTGAAAATTGGTCCGTCCGATCTTATCCCTATAACTTTAAAAAAAAGATTTGAGTTTGCCCCAAACTCATTACCCAGCCCAAAGGCCACATGAAAAAACCTCTTTAAAACTCAGCCCAAAAACTCACCCGCCAAGCCCAGCCCACACCACCCTTCTTTTGAAAAAAGGGCAATTTAAAAGTCAGTGCAATTTTTTAGATTTATTTAGGCAAAAGTACAACTCAAAAACTTATTTTGAGTAAAGTGCATATTTTTTTAAAATACTATTATTGTCATTGGTAGACAGTAAATATATAAAAATTCATTATCTTCTATCCGTATTTTTTGACTAAAATCAAGTGGGAGGTAAAATAGGAGTTTTAATTATTAAAACTCATCTTCTTCGGCAAGAGTGATTGGAATGTCCGAACTATGACTGTTTATCATCTAAAAAAAAAAAGGAACTCGAGTTATTGTTCATTATCCAAAAAAAAAAAAGGAATACAAATTACTATTCATCGTCAAAAAAAAACAAAAAAAAAAGGAATTCGACTTACTGTTCATCGTCTAAAAAAAAATACGACTTATTGTTCATCGTGTTCTATGATCAAGTAACTGTGAATCATCTTCGGCAACTTCTTCATTAGAAATTGCAAATGACATTCATTTTTGTTTTTTTGTCATTCATTAATTTTTTTCCCCACAATCTGTGTTGTTTGATTTTTTTGATTAAAAATACTTACGTAACTGTTTTAAGTAATTATTTGTGATCACAAATTGTAAACAGTTAATATTTAAAATTTAATGGTTGAAACTGTGTTGACACAATTACACCAATTAAAACACAGTTACGTCCATTAAAACATAGTTACACCCATTAAAAACACAATTACACCTATTAAAACACAGTTACACCTATTAAAACAAAATCAATTTCTTTCCTCTTCATTCCAACATCGAGCAAACATAAAACAAAATCTAACATAAGAATTTTTCAAAAAAATTATCGAATAAAAGAAGAAATATACTTATTATGTTTATACAAAAAAATAGTTACACTCATTAAAAATAATTACACCAATTAAAACCAAAAGTAATTTTTTTCCCTTTCATTCTAATAACGAACAAACATAAAATAAAATCGAACAAAGTCATTTCCAAAAAAAAAATGGCCGAATAAAATAAGAAATATAGTTATTATATTTATAAGAAAAAATAATTACACCCATTAAAATCAAATACAATTTTTCCCCCTTCATTCTAACAACAAACAAACAAAAAACATAATTGAACATAGAAATTTAAAAAAAAAATGACAAAATAAAAGAAAAAATATAATTATTAATAACTAATCTTTAAACCAATGACAGCGATTTGTATTTACAGTTTCTTTTTTCGAATAAATCTACTATCGAAAAAGTAAATTGACTATTAAATAAGACTCTTACTNTTGAACATAGAAATTTAAAAAAAAAATGACAAAATAAAAGAAAAAATATAATTATTAATAACTAATCTTTAAACCAATGACAGCGATTTGTATTTACAATTTCTTTTTTCGAATAAATCTACTATCGAAAAAGTAAATTGACTATTAAATAAGACTCTTACTGTCGAGATCAGATGAATACAGACGTTGAAGAAGACTCATATTGCAAAGATCAGTGTTTTTTTTTTAACAAATTACAGAGATGTTTGAGGACTTTGTGTTACTACATAAATTTTTTGTCTTATTACAGAGATCAGTTGAACACAGACTTTTACTGTATACAAAAATGTCAACGATGGCTGCATAAATTAACGAAGGGTGTTTAAGTAAAAAAGATTTTAATTCATTTGAATTTTGTACCTAATCACAAAAATTTTTATAAAAAATGTACTTAATAGAATAAACAATTTATCCATACTCTTTTGCCTAAATAAGTCTAAAAATTTATATCCACACATAAAAAACCTTTGAAAAAAGTTATACTTTTAAATCATTAAATTTAAAACTTTGAAATAAGTCTNAATCACAAAAATTTTTATAAAAAATGTACTTAATAGAATAAACAATTTATCCATACACTTTTGCCTAAATAAGTCTAAAAATTTATATCCACACATAAAAAACTTTTGAAAAAAGTTATACTTTTAAATCATTAAATTTAAAACTTTGAAATAAGTTTCTCAATGTCGAAATTTGAAGTTTTAAAAATTTAAATACTATAAATAATGTATTATTTTCTTTTTCATATGTTAAACATACAAGTTTTAAAGGGTGGAGTAATATAAATGATAGATAAAGTGAGTATGTGTCAAACTAATTTTGATGTATTAATTATATTGGATATAATTCATCCTCTAATCAAAAATAAAATATTTCATTATTTTATTTTTATCTATTTTTGACTCTACTTTTGATTCAAAAATATATTTTATACAAATATTAAGTTACAAAAAAATTTATTACTTTTAAATAAAGATGTATAGAAAAAAAACCCGAGAAAAGGCCCACCTAATAGACTCGTGAGTTGGAGTATAGGTAACCTACCACTATCCAAACCTCAGTCCGATCCGTACGATGANGATTCAAAAATATATTTTATACAAATATTAAGTTACAAAAAAATTTATTACTTTTAGATAAAGATGTATAGAAAAAAAACCCGAGAAAAAGCCCACCTAATAGACTCGTGAGTTGGAGTATAGGTAACCTACCACTATCCAAACCTCAGTCCGATCCGTCCGATAACTCAATTAAATAAAGACTTTGCCCAACATTGCCCAAGTGTGACTCAAAAAAAATTCACTGATCTAACCCAGGCCCAGTCCTTAGACACCCCCGGTAGGTAATGATGGAGGTAAAAAAGCAAGTTAATTACTTTTAAAACAACCANTCCGTCCGATAACTCAATTAAATAAAGACTTTGCCCAACATTGCCCAAGTGTGACTCAAAAAAAATTCACTGATCTAACCCAGGCCCAGTCCTTAGACACCCCTGGTAGGTAATGATGGAGGTAAAAAAGCAAGTTAATTACTTTTAAAACAACAACATATCTGTCGAGCAAACCAAGTTCATTACCCAACACTGACAACTGTTCCCAATTTTGGGTTGATACTAAAACGAGCACATAATTCACTTATTAATTACCATGTTTTACCTTCCAAAAATAAAATAAAATGAGCACATACCCAACTTTACCCTACTTTGTTAAATCTAAAAATAAGGACAACAAAAAATTGACAAGTGGCATTAACCGCACTGCACCGCACCAATTCTTTTTTTTTTTTGTCAGACTATCTGGTATCCGAAAGTTATTTTAAGCTCCGACTAATCTGAATTCGAGCCAAGTAGAACCACAAAGACGGCAAAGCTCTCCCTACCGAACGTAACTGCGTTTCCAAGACTCAAACTTAAGACCTTGGTTAAGCTAGAGCAATCCCTCACCAACTGATCTAGCGTTCGGGGNCTCTTCCTACCGAACGCAGCTGCGTTTCCAAGACTCAAACTTGAGACCTTGGTTAAACTAGAGCAATCCCTCACCAACTGATCTAACGTTCGGTGGTGCACCGCACCAATTCGACCTCTGTAATTAATTACCTCCTGACCCTGATTGCGAGGCCTTCAGATCAAGCATGTTATACATTGCAGTCAATGTTCCATCAGGATCCACAATAATAATAATAATTAAAAAAAATACATAATAATTCCACCTTTTCCCAGTGTATGATTTGGCGCTGCTTTGCTTTCATTCTTTGAAGTAGAAAGACCCTTAAAATAAACACCGAGTTTTAGAATTGCGTATCAATAAACTCCAACTATGGCTATGCACAGGACTCAAAATGATGTCTATGAATACTATGTTGGACCAACCAACACACACACAAAAAAACACCCGACGACGACTATCTACAGAACCATAATTCTGGGACATGCTATAAAAGAATCATATTTTGATTCTAACATGAATTTTCGTCACTCTGTCTTTGGACACTAGAAACCGATTCCAGCTTCCACTAATGCATCACTCTCTCTACCAGTCATCCAGAGCACTGGCAGAACGTGAGGGTTTAAATACACAATGCTGACGGAGATGCAATCTGCATCTTCCATGTTCCTTTCTCCACCATCAGGAGCGACTCAGACATATATGACTTCTCCGGTGAGCATCATTATGTATGACCTGCGTAATAACACACATTACAAATGCTTCAAATTAGAAGAATGCGACTTCCTACAGCTCAATAAAACAACGAATGAGTAAAATGGGGGAGACATACAGTGCAATCCCAATCCACAAAAACCAAACAGAGAACAACTAAATGCACCAATTACATTTGCCAGTTCCCCTTGACAAGGTAAGAAACCTATGTACCACTACCTTTAATTGAGTTTCATGGTTTCTCAGTGTTCCATTATAAATTCTCAGTGCATTCACATGTTATAGTGAGAAAGGAATAGGGAAGAAATTGTGGGGTCATACAATATAATAACTGCTTAGAAGTTAGAACCAATGAATATTGCCTTATGCGGAGTTCAATTGCAAAGAAAGTCCCAAACCATCCCATGAATGCGGAATATAACATGTTTCTGAGGTGCTTCCTACACAATTACATTTCAACTGCATNTAGAACCAATGAATATTGCCTTATGCGGAGTTCAATTGCAAAGAAAGTCCCAAACCGTCCCATGAATGCGGAATATAACATGTTTCTGAGGTGCTTCCTACACAATTACATTTCAACTGCGTCTTGCTTGTTTTTATTGTAAGCCAAAAATCCCAAAACGGGGTCAGCATCATTTAATGGTAAAGATGCACCAAGGCTCTAATATCTCCTGTGGATCGAAGCGAGGTTCATTTTGCAGATAATATTTAAAATGAACAAATTACACTGTAAATGCAACTAAAAATAATAAATTTTAGAAAACTTCAAGCAAAGTACATCCCATTTCTCGAAACCAAAGGCCAATCTCACATTACTAAAAGCTACTTGAACCAAAAATGAGGTTAATAGATTTAAAAAGGGGGTTAATTTCAGTTTACTAGGAGCTAGACAAAACAAAAGGATAGAAAAAATATCTTTATACTTGGAGTTACATTATAGTGGATCTGTAAAATTCACAAGTGGAGTCTAGATTTACACTTAGATATTTATAGTTGGAGTGTTGGATTTCTAATGTGGTTATGCAAATCAAACTTAATCAACATTCTAACTAAAGTTCACGCCTTGACTGCGCCTCAGCAAAATCGCCCCTCCCCTTGGGCTCATTGAGGTGTTTCAGGTGTGCTTGGCTCACCTCAGGCCTATGTGTGTGCCTACGCGCACTTCTTGAATGAAATGATGAAGAGAATGCTAGGAACAAACACCTACACAAATTTTTGAAGTATACCTTCATGAACACAACATCTGACAGATTTGGGTTAAAGTTTTCCCCAAAAGCTCATACCCTACCAATCCTAGGTGGCTGGTGCAGCAAGGTATAACCTAAACTCGAAAAGGTATGCTGAATTACCAGACAGCATGAAAAATCTAGAAAACTCATTACCTACTTTGATATGATTTATTGAACACACTTGGCTTCCTGCCATTCTGCACGCATTACTTTAGAACAGAAAGGATTGAAAATTTGTGCAAAATAAAGAAAATAAAGATTTCATAAATGACACACCAACGCGACCCTCCACTCATTACCACAAAACTCGAAAGGTAGAAGACATGCGGCCAGCATCACCAAGTCATATTTATGGAGGATCAAAATCATGAATAGATGTTTCAAGCATCTTCACGGACAAATTTAAAACATTGCCCACCCTTAAAAATATGGACACTAAACTAGAAGAATTAGTAATAATCCAAGCCTTCCCCCCTCCCACACTTTTTGTGGTTTTTAGTAACTGACCCGGGTAGCACAGGAGAAAAATTGTCAAGATACAAAAAGCACTAACTTGTACTTTGATTACACGTACATCTTACAGAATATGATGCAGGTCTACAAAATTATAATTTTAGTTCCAAAGAGCTAACTTACAATAAAGTACTTCTCAGTTTAACCTAAAGTGTCTCCTAGATGAGATACAAAATTATATCTCCCATATATTGCTAGCATGAGTAAAGCTTATTGAATGACATGTTGAACATTGGGGAAAACAATCAAGTGTTTTTCAGTCACATAGATGAGATAACATTAGGCAGATTGAACTCTTCATGTTAATTTCCCCATCAAGTCCAAATTTTCAACTTTTAGTGGTATATCTCCAAAACTGACAAATGAGAAACAGTAGACCCATATAACGTGCTCCACAATACGTATCAAAGATTTATTTTCTTTCCCATTATTGTCTTGATGTCAACTTAGATCTCATATGCAACGGNAAGTCCAAATTTTCAACTTTTAGTGGTATATCTCCAAAACTGACAAATGAGAAACAATGGACCCATATAACGTGCTCCACAATAAGTATCAAAGATTTATTTTCTTTCCCATTATTGTCTTGATGTCAACTTAGATCTCATATGCAACAGGGAATATGTACCTCTAGAATGCAAAATGAACCATTTGCAAGGCTAGATCCGAAGCCCGCCACTCAAGTAGCAGTACCGGTGCTCTTAGTCCTGCTGCAATCTAAGGGTACCTGCAAATAACGTTAGAACTGGATCGGCATTTAGAAAATCAGACTGGCGGCAAGGACAGGCAAAACGACACAGAAACTCCCACATGCGACCACCATCACTAACCTTGATCAACCCCTCACCCAGCATTTTGGTCAGAACCGCTACCTTGCATGAACTGAGGAGAATGAGCAGGAAGCATAAACTGTGGCTGTGCTGGAACAGGTGCTGCCACACCTAATGATGCCAAAACACTATCCTCATTAGATCTGCCTACTAGACAATTCACCTAATTTACAATATAACATTTGATGCAGATCATTTAACTCATTTTTATCCTTTGTTATAAATAGGCCCATGTGAGCTAAAGGGACAAAGAAACAACTAGGCTAATGAAGTTTTTCAGATTTCACAAAAAATGTAGATAGAAAACAAACTCTCAAAATTGCCTTGTAATGAATTGAGACATGCTCAACTGACATCAGTTGTCAGTTGCACCTATAAATATAAAGGCACATGCACATATATGCCTACCATAAGATTACGATACTGAAGGGTTATGTTTAGGTACCACACAGAAAGTTACTACTCAGTCTGGTGAAGTTATGATAGAATGGGATCATTTGGGATCCATTGTAAAATGTTAGGATCGATCTAAATCCAAACATTTTATGATCGATTCTAACTGTTTTTAACTAAAAATTTTGGGGTTGCGACGTGAACCAAATTGTGTTGTAACTAACCCTGTTTTATAGTTACTAAACCCCTTCTATCATTCCCCTACATTTAAAGACATTACTTAAGAAACAAAAACTTTACCTGTAGGGTATGGTGCTTGAATACTTGGTATAGATGAAGTTGTGATTGCATTGACACTGGGCCCACCAAACTGCACAATCTGATGACCAGGCACAGTATAGCCCTGCAATGTTGTGTAACCGTGACCTCCGGGAACTGTCTGACCCAATTGACTGTATGGATATATGGCCGTGTTAACTGTCCCTGGTACACCATATATGTGCAGGTACTGCTGACTCGCATAAGGGTTGTAAACACCCTGCCAGAAAATGCCAGCAGAGAAGCATTAGAAGCTGGTTATAATCTAAAAATAAAAGTGCTTATGAAACTATGCATATGGGATAAGCATAATAAACTTCAACAAAAGCTGTCATCATGGAGCGGCTTTCACCTGCGGGTATAGGTACTCTGGACCATAGGGTGCATACCTGCACAAATATAAAGCGATTGCAACATGTAAGAAATTTATCGTCTGAATGTACAAGGGCATGCATTTTGGATGCATTATATGGGATGAAGAAAAATGTCAAATGAAACCATGTCTCGTCACACTGTTAGGACTTAGGACCCATGTTCCCCGATTAAACCATAGACTAGGGAGCTCATAATCAGATCACAAACCGTGTCATGTCCAGCATGTGCACAGAAGACAGATTTAAGAGGACGATGAGCTTAACAACCCAGTCATGGGATTTTTCTTATCCTTCTTTCCAAAAAGGGGTGCTACTCTGCAAAAAATGAACCATATCAGGCTAGCATGTGTGTGAAAGGCATATTTGCTCCTCCCTTTCCTGTTTTCTCTTGTTAATCAAACCACTGGGAACATATTCTCTGCAACTACCACCTCATGCAGTCCCACAGTTTCCAATCACATCACATAATGATCACCATATTTTGGAAACAACACTAAATACTTGAACGTGAGTCACCATTTCAAAATTACTAAACAATCCTCAAGTCATGTAGAAAATGGTGACTGATACATGCAAGATTGTCACAAGATTAGGGGAGATATGAACCCCGCCGCGGGGGGCGAGAGAGATAAAGTAGTGCTTGCAAAGTCAAGCTCACTAATCTTCCATTCTGTCAAGTTCATGGTATACCAATTGACGGGGACAGATTGAAGCATCTCTACATTGTAGATGGAAGTAGAAGAGCAACTACTGTTCATCAAACCTTAAAAGGAGTACCAACTATTTATATGTATCCCACCTATATAGCATGCAAACATCTGTGTGTATGCATGCTATTTATTTGGTGTTCATGAATGTAACCAAATAATCAAGTGTAGGTTATGCATGCAAACATCTGTGCAAGTAGGTGATGCATGTAGCTTCATGGTAAATATGCATTTGTCAAAAAAAAAAAAAACATTGGAGTTATATAAAGGCAGAAATAAATACGCCAACAATAATCAAGTGATTAGAGACTCCACTTAAATGGGAATTGCACTCATCCAAGCAAGGCCAGCAATAGTGTAACAAAGGACAAAGCAAGGCTTGAATATTGGTAAAAAATAAAGGAGTACATGTGATGATGCATCTCTCACACCATGAGTCAGAACATTGCTGAGCCAGCCAAACCATTACATAAATTATGCTCTTGGAGTGCACAACTAACCCATATGGAGGATACATATATCCTTGTTGGTAGCTGTAAGAAACTGGTTGTTGGTAACCAAATCTTCCAACATAAGCCCCTCGGGCAGTTGGCACAGCTCCAAGATAAGGTGTCGGTGATCTAAGACGTCCTGCAGCAGATAAAAACAAGAGAGAAAAAATATTAATTCTTTTGAGCTTGATTGGAAGACTGACTAATGAGGTCCATACAAAGACCTAGAAATAGTTTGTTGTCTACTAAAATATTACATCATGTGAAAAGCGCCTCCCAACATTTAATACTTACTTGAAGGATTGTGGTCCATGGAGTACCTAATCATAAAGGGGAAATGCCAAATTCCACAGAATCTTTAAATTTGAGCATTTGGAGCAAAATCCATCTAAACTAGGGGAACTGATTGAGTTAAATTACTGACTACAATTAATTATTCTAGCACGTTTTAACAGTTGTCCCTTTTTTCATTTCTAGACAAGATGGCTTTTATTTGCTTTATGCCTTATTTAGGCACTAAGCAAGCGTATCCACAAATATGTGGCTTCAATATTTGGCAATACATGTATCAGTGAGGGGCTCTTAATCCGAAATAAAAAGATCAATGCCTTACTAGGCCAGAGCTCATTATGTGCAACTTATGGGATTCTAAAGTACTTGAACATTCTTGAAGGCATACATATGTATCAATGATTATTCCATGTGTACATAAATTGTCACTATTGAGCCGCTCAGTACTACTAGGTGCTTTTAAAATTCGCTCTTGCCCACTCTCACACACCCATGCAGTCTATTACCTACGTTTTATCAATCCTCTCTCAAATATTCCCTTTAAACTAATTTGGACAGTGCAGCTAATCCCAAAAAAAAAAAAAGAAAAAGCAAATTGGAGTGCACTTTCCCTTCTGATAAAAAGAGTCTTCCATCATAACATCGGTCCAACAGTAAACCATCACCAGCTCAATAAGTGAAGAATATTCACGAGAAATGGGCATCTAAATGGTGTCATCATCTTAACAGGGATCAATAAACAAAATAAAAATCCATGCTTTTAGTTTTAGCCAATGCAGAAGAAACACCCTAGATAGTAAGTACATGAGTAGTATAGAAGATGGAACAGCAACAAGCTGCCTATACAAAAAGAAGGAAAGAGAAAGCAAGAGTAAAAAAGACAAGTTCCTGATTAATGCTTTCCAGGTTTATGATCAAAGTTTTCCATTTCCATTTCCAGCTTTTATTTTGCATTATTATGAGCTAGTTTTTGAAATTTTACCTAAATGACTGCCGATTTAAAAACCTGTGTGTTTTGAGCACAATGAATTTTAGAGAACATTCTCGAGGCAAATATTGTTAACCACATATCTAATTTGCATGTAAAATGGGGCACCACACAACAGTGTATTACCAAAAGGCAGAGCAGGCCGAGGGCGTCCAAGTGAGGCCAAATTACAATTAGCCCGCCTACCATCAATAATAGGAGCTGGATCAGCACATGCTCTCCTGGCAGATTCGGGGTCCTTGAAAGTCACCTAAACCCTCCATAAAATACCACAGGAAACCAAGTCAATCAATTATTGACGCCTCTGATATGTCAAAAAGATCAGATGAACAATAAATGGATAGAATAGCCGTGCCAATATGTATGTATACACTTGTGCAATGAAGGGTAATGATAAAATTCAATAAACATGTAATGAGAAGTCCAGAATTCCATCCATCAACAGTCGTTAGGATCCAAACCTGAGATCACTTTAGAGGAGAGGTTCAAACTTTCTCCACAGTAGATAGGTTATAAACCATCTGAACCTAATTGAATGAAAAAAGGAAAAAAAAAACAAATAAACACTCACAAAACCGTAGCCTTTGGATCGGCCAGTGTTCTTATCGGTGATGACAACAGCCTCAAGGATGTCACCGAATTGTTCGAAGTAACGTCGCATAGTCTCACTGTGAGTCTCCCAAGCTAGGCCTCCGACGAAAACCTTTGTGAAAGTGGTATCCCCAAAAGGAGAGTTCAATAATTGCAACCCAGAAGTCGAACTCGATCCCGAACTTGGCCCTGGAATCGGAGGCTGATATGCCATGGCAAAAGTAAAAGGGTTTGGTATCGGGGAAGGAGAAAGAATATGAATTCGATGCGAAGAAAAGAGGAAAAGAAAGAAAGCGAAGAAGATTCTGAGAACAAAGAGAAGTATATAGAGAAAGGAAGGATTTAAGTAATAGTACCCTTGATCCAATAAACAGTTAACCACATCTTAGAAGGAGAAAAACCCTACAAAAACCCTAGAGAGAGAGTCCATTGAATAATTAGAAATTCGAAGAAGAGAGAATGTATGAATGATGAGTTAAATTGAAAAGAAAGCGATGGATGGAGGGAATAGAGAGAGGTAGAGGATCATGTTAAGAAAGAAAAAGGAAACCCTAGAATGGAGGTGGGGAAAAGCAGCAGCAGTAGTAGGTCAAAAGAGAAGGTCGGTGGTGTGGGTCGGCTTTACAACAGAGCAGAGTGATGTATGAGGTGTGGTGGGGGAAAGGTGAAGTTTGTTCTCAGCATTAGATGGGTTGGTTATGGTTATGGTTATGTATTAGAATTATTAGGATGAAATTAACGAAGAAGGAATAAGGGAGGGAGAGGAGGAGTAGGAGTAGGAGGTGGAGAGGAGGGATTTGTTTTTGATTTATGATGATGATGGCGACTGATGAGGCAGGAGAGAGAGAGAGAGAGAGAGAGTTGTGATTTTTAATTTTCACAAAGGGTGAAAAAGAGCAACGGTACAGTACAGTAGAGTACAGCAGCAACCCGCAAAAAGAAGTTGGAAAACGGCTTCTGTTTCGTGGATTCTCATTTCTACCTAATCTAAACACCAACAAAGGGATACAATATACATCAAATCACATCACATCACAGCTTGGACGGACCGGTGCATTGCATGTATGGGACCGGACCGGTGCCGGTACCCCCACCCTTCTTTCTGTTTTCTAACAAAAATAATCTCACACCAAAAGTCGAAAATCCCGACTCCTTTCTTTGAATTGAAAATTTCATTTCAAAAAAAAAAAAAACCGTTTTTCATTATGATTTTTTAGTAAAGTTGAGATAATATTTTAATTAAACAAAATTAAAATTTTTAATTTCGACCGATTTTAATTTTGTATTTAAATGATATGTTCACAATTGTAATATATTTAAATTTCACTCTACAAGTAATAATTATGAATATGATGCTTCATTTTTTGTAACACAATTTACACATTTGACCAACACTAACAAAAATTTGTACATTTGAGCATATTTTTTTTTAGATATAATATTTAATATTCTATTTAATTCAGATATAAGTAGCAGGTGCCAACCAATGGCCTTATTCAATGTGCATAACCTTAACTATAGTAAAACAAAAAACAGAAGACAGTGTAGATAAAAAGGGTTGGTCTCCGTTAAAAGAAAGATACATACATTTTTATACTATATCCACACTCCAGAGAAGCAAGACATTGTCTTGCTGTCATGTCTTGGCTTTTTTGCTGCCGGTGAGTTGTACGTTTAATGTAAGTGAAGAGGCTAGTTTCTTATGTCAATATGTCTTTCTTTTTTTTCTTTTTTTTTGGGTTGAATGGTAAGAAATATTTGGACGTTGACGTGTATTTTTACTAATTTGTTCCTTAGTTTTTTTTTAAAATAAATCATTAAAGTCGAGACTAAAATATTCACTAGTAATAAAATTATCAAAATTTAAACTCTAGATATCTAAATTTACGTTCCTTTAAACTAATCTCTACCCTACCCTCGAACATTTCCGTATTAGAGTGGGCACACCACTTAGTTATAATAGGAGAAAGGGTTAATTTTACGTTGAGTTTAGAAAATTGGGAGAATGGATAAAGTTAAGGTCATCAGTCATCATGTTGTTGTCAACAGAAGCTAACATCCTTGGTCCACGGGATCATTTTTTTTTTTTTTCTTTCATGAACTGAAAGGGGTATTTTGTCATTTACTAATTTCACCCACTTATAATTTTTAATAATTAATAATCCTCTGCTCTAAGTTTTATCTGAATTGAAGTGAGATTTTCTCAAATATAATTTCTCTTCAATTTTTTTTTTTTAGCAGTTCATATATCATTCATTCAAGTGAGATCCATTATATACAGATAGATTATTTACTCATTTATAGTAGATGATTCAGCAAAAAGAAAATTAAAAAAGAAAATATATCAGAAGGGATCTTGATCTAGTCCATCTTAAACTTCCCAACTCCATCTTCACCTTATGTAAGCTTTATATGAGAAGATGCTAATAAACACACGTTTTTTTTTTTTGGCTACACTGCAAAATTTCATTTTACGGGACCAAATCAGACCAGACCAGACCATACCGCTACTTCTATATACAANTTCACCTTATGTAAGCTTTATATGAGAAGATGCTAATAAACACACGTTTTTTTTTTGGCTACACTGCAAAATTTCATTTTACGGGACCAAACCAGACCAGACCAGACCATACCGCTACTTCTATATACTATGCTAATGTTCTGTGGTTTTAAGAATAAGAAACGAACCGATCTGGTAAGGCACAGCATCGATCTCCCTACAACCAAACAAAAAATGAAAAGAACAGAATTTTTTTTTTCTTTCTATGTCTATGTCTATGTCATGGTTTGTTTTTCTTGTTAAAAAACAAACACAGGACAAGGCTTCTCTGTCCAAAATAAACGTTAAGCTAGAATTTGAAAGCAAATGGCCAAATATGGTGAGCATTTTCATAACAGGCTAGAGATGCCCACTGCATAAAGAATCTATGCAGCGTACAATTTATTTAATAGGAGTACTTGTATAAGCAGCGTACATAAACATTGAAACATAAGTTATAAATATGCCCAGTAAAAACAAAAGGAAGAGGAAGAAACAGTTACTTGGCTACATCTGATATTGGTTTATTTAACAAACCACTCTCTTCGAAATCCTTAACAGCATCAATTATAGTCTCTTCCAATGGCCTATACTTCCATCCCAGATTCTGCAACTTCTGGGAATTCAGCTTCACACCGTCCTTTACCTCAGTAAATCTGGCATGCATATATCATAAAATTAACATAGCTACTCCATGAGTAAATAATCATAAAGTGTAATTAGTTCATATCCTTTATACCAACTGGAGGACAGCAGAGACAATGGGGGCTTAAGGGATCAGAAACCCTGTCCCATTGAGGCAATAGGGTCAATATATTTCAGTGGATTGAATTAAATATATTCATCTTTTCAAAAGAACATCATCGGAAATGTTCTGTGCTATGGGACAACCTACATTGACTCCAGGATTTTAGCTCTCATTTTTTCTTATTGCTCAAATAGTAAATAAACTTACTTCGTGGGGTAATTGTACTCGGGAAACATGTTCTTCAACTTTTCAACCAGAAGCTGTGTTCGAATCTTGTGTGATGAACATATATATCTCCCTTCTGCCTTGGGATTTTCATATGCCAGGAGGATTGCCTCAGCAACATCACGCACATCTACCATGGGACGATCTTTATTTTCCACTGTATCACGTTCACCTGCTTGCCATGGCAATCCAAGAAAATGAAGAAAAATTACAACAATACCTTAACCACATATAGCAGCCCAATGAATACAACTGAAGTCACCCTTTCTACTTTCAATTAGGGGGGATCGGGTTCTGCCACAATACCAGGATTGATGTGATCTAAAATAGCTTCCTTTTCTTTGCAAAATATACCAAAGAAGGAATAGCTATAGAATGAGTGCAAACCTTTCATGTAGTCCAGAAGAAGTAAGCTACTAGCATTAATTGAAGATTGCAGCATTGGCCCGATGGCATTGGATGGACAAACTGTTATGAGGTTGAGTTCACCTCTCCTTGCATACTCCAATGCCTCACTCTCTGCTATAGTCTTCCCAATGCGATACCAGAACTAATTTCCCAAATGAGCTATTAGCGCAGTATATATTTCACGAAAAGATTTTATAATGAAAAGTGCAAACTGTAATGCAAGATGATGAAATTCCCCTTCCACTAAACTATAATGATGAAACTACAATTTTATTGTGACAGTAATATGTAAGTTGTAACTATTACTCAGGCAGTTAGGCAATGTGCATTTGCAAGATGCCTCAAAGTCATGATACTTAGTGAAACTACAAACATGATAGTCCATAAATGGTGTTGATTGCTGAACATGAGATACCTTGGTTGACTCGTGAAAATCCCCCTCCAATCTACACTTATCATTTGTGACCTGAAAAAGAAAAAAAAAATAATCTTTGACCTGATGGTTGGCTAATCAAGGAAGGTGTGTTTGTGAATATCTCGTTAAAAAAATATATACAATAGACAACAGTTTGAAATACCTCAATTGATTTGCAATATTCTGTGTCCGTCCAACAATTTTCATCCATTGCCTGATCCTTGGGCCAATAAGGGTTCATCACAACAGCGCTAATAGACGATACAACCACAACCTTTTTCACTTTAGCCTTCATACAAGCATTTAGTACATTGCGAGAGCCAGTTATAGCTGGTTCAAGCAGTACAACCTGTGTGAACTCTTTCAATTTAATTACCATTAATTTAAGACCATAGCAACTATATATTTTCACATCGCAGTAGGCAAACTTCAGTTCAATTTTATATTCATTGTTAACAAATTCAGTTTAACTAGCACGGGAATTCTTCACTAGATGACCCTTATCATTGGGGACTGCTGATTAAAACAAGTGGCAGATAGTTTATCTTAAGTTCAAATAAAAATGAATTTGAAGGTTATTCTATGAAGTATATCTCGCCTCAGGATTAAGCACAGTACTGTGAATCGGTACTGGAGAGGCGATGTGGAAAACCCCAGTGCATCCAGCAATGGCAGCAAACAGACCTTCGTAATCCAGCAAGTCCGTCTTGAAGAGCTGCAGATTCTCTGCAGCATTTTCCAACGTCTTCAGATGAGCATTCTTCTTTTCATCGCCTAAAAACCATTTTCATCGAAAATTTAAAGAAGACAGCATAAGTACACATAAGAATATCAATTCTCAAAACAAATCGAACACGAAGCTCTGTTCATTCTTGGAAAGAATAAGACAACACTAAAAAGCAATGGCATTGAGTGGCCTCTAACCATTTTTTTTTTTTTGGGGGCACTCAACGATGTAGGGACGTCGTAAGGAGGCGATGAGATTCGACCCAAGTCACGCACGGGTGGGGGCTGCTTCTTAATCTCTTGCTACTCTTTCGTTGGGCACACTTTGTTTCTTCCAAAGAACCAAAGAGCTTCGAGTAGTTTTACAGAATTTGGGATGTCAGTTGTCTCTACCAAATTCCCACCCTATTGAATAATGCACACGTGACGGTATTAATGATGTTGAGATTTGTCATACGAACGGCCAAAACTAAAGATATGCTTGAAATGAACCAGCAGCGATGGACCAAAGTTTCAATTTCTTATCAATAAATTCATCACCCAAGGTAGCTCAATTGGAAATGATGACGATGAAGCAACTTTGTCCAAGGAATTGTGATGGAAAATCCAGGAATTTAGGTCCTTCAAATGAAAAAATAATACGAGCAACCAAAGCATGCAATCTAATCTAGTCTTCAAAATTTGAAGAAGCTAAAACATAATCCTGGTAAATTAAATCAACCCGCAAGTAATTTTTGCATTTCAAATTAGTAAAGCTGAAAAGAATGGAGGAAAGGTGAAGAGGAGAATACATATTACATACAGGGGTCTCT